TCACAAGAACGTGATCTTTTTCCAATGGTGTGCTTCTTACTGTGGCATTAGATATAGGAATATTTCTCAGAAGGGGTTTTTATTCACTCTCTAAAAGGTGCCACATGGTTTTATGTTAGTATTATTTTATGGAGTTGAAAGGTTGTCTCAGTGAAGTATTTAAATTTCATGCATGTCCATATTTCCCACAAATTGTTCATTCAACCTCAAAGGTCAGCGTTTTATTTAGAATAAGTTACTTTTTTTCTTTGCCACTTATATACCCACACAAAAGTATTCTCAACGCAACCGTAAGGGGAAACTTTATGGTTAAGCTTATTTCCTGTTGTTAAGTTTACTGGACTAAGCAAATTTCCCCTTGGGAATACTTTCCTTTGCAAATTGATGCGACAAGGAAGTGGTATTGTTTAAAATGTAAGCCAATAAAGCATACAATTTGATATTTATTCCATTTACGGTATGTTAAGGGCATTTTAATTTTTCCTTTGGGTTAGTGCCTCATGTAGAGGTACTGTCAAGCACTCTGCTGGATAGCCTCTTTTGGTTAATTAAAATTTATATAATACAAATACAAACATACAAACTCTTACCAACTGGTCAGGAAAATCAGGTCACAAAATTTGACATGTTTTCCTGCACAGAGGTCTATATCTAATGGACGACCCCATTCTGCGAACTACTTAAAAAACCCACAAAAGGGTACCGTCAGTGCTTTTTTGATATCAAATTAGTGTAACAGATGCCCTCACGTCATGGCAACACTCTTAAAGTGGTTTTGTTTCATCTAAAGGCTATGCTAGTGTGTCTAAATGATTACCATTTAAAATGCGGTGTACGTCTGGACAAATAACCAAATAATATACAGAAACAGCAACCAAAGACGATTATTATAACATCTGTTTGCTGTTTAAATTGTTTTCCCTTCCCATAAGATTTTCAGAGGTATTTTTCTTCTGCAATTGGACAAAAAACCCATTGACTGAAGGTGCAGTTCTTAATCTTTCGTAAAACTATTCCCAGCCAGGCATGATAGTACCGCAAGTTATCTCAAGTTTTCACACCTGAAATCTCAAGTTTATTCGACTCCTGATAACTCAACCTTCAAGGGAAATAGAAAAAAGTTCGAGTTATGGGGAGTTCGATTTATCAAGGGTAAAATTATATAAAAAACGAATCTAAATTAAACAAGCAAAGCACACCCAGTTGCATCAGCTGGGCAAACTGGGAATTGCAGGAAATAAATAGCAAAGTTTTGTTGTTTGGTAAACCTAGCACCACTACTTATTTTTGTGAGCACAGACATGTTTATATCTTTTTTTTAAAGTAATTTTAAGTCTGTCAGGGTTTCAGGGTTTACCTGGCCATGAGAATTTTTCCTAGGCTACTTTGTTTGAAGCACGATAAACACAAGAAAAAATCAAATCCCTGGCCATATTTCCTATTTCTTCTTCTACTTCAACAATAATTTAGCTGTTTAAAAATGAATGTTTGGATTGAACAAGAAAAGACTACTAGTGATATACAGTGGAAGCCCTCCTAACGATCACTCTCGTAAGCCGACAGCTATACTCATGGCCTCCTTCACAAAACCCCGTTTTTTACATACATTGTATTTTTACATTCCCGTAAGTGGCCAGCTCTAGTTTTGGACATGTTTTTCGCATCCCGAGGGTGTCTACTCTTGAGAGCTTCCATTGTATTGCTTTGTCCTAGCTGTGTTAAAGTAGATGTTTTGTTGTTGTCTTGTAGACTGAGATTGCAAAAAGATTGAATGCTATATGTGCTCAAATCATTCCCTTCCTTTCACAAGATGTGAGTATGAAATAAGCATCTTTTAATGTACTTTTTATAGCTGTCTTGTAAGTGCCAACAAGTAAAGATTTTACCAATACGTGCGCGCTTTTTAATTTGTTTAGAAATGTCGTAAATTATCATAACAATATAAAAATCCAGCAGGCAAGTGCAACAGCTGTACACGTATGTTGCAAATAAATCAAGCCGACAATTATTGGTTGAGGATGGGTTGAGCACTGGACTCACAAACACACACATGGCTCTTGGATTCTCTGTTCTGTATCACGTGTTCACTCGAAAAACAGTGGATTCTCTGTTCTGCATTATGTCATAAAAGTTACCTTACACTAACTTATGTTACATCGCTGCGAGATTCATTATGCCTTGGAACTTTCGCACACGGCTTTATAAGGCTGCTACCTTGCAGCTGCTCATTGGTAATTAGTAACCAAAAGCTTGTACCTCCATTGTCTCTGTACAGTTTAGTAAAATTTTATTCCCTAATATTTATATTTAACTATGGCACATTGAAGGGTTTAACTGATCAAAGCATCATGATCATCAACTTCATGATCCTTCTTACCAGTGTACCCAAGGATGTCTTCAAATGTTAAGTTAAGAAGATTGTTTATTGATTGATTGTACATTCGGCGGTAGGATGAGCCCAGTCAGTAGAGTACTTGACTGGGGAGTGGGAGGTTGTGGGTTCGTCCTGGGGCCAGACCAATATTCATGTTCTTAATATATCTGAGTAATGATGGTACTTCCTTTGCCCTACAAATGGCCTTCGCGGGGATCGGATGACCACGTAAAATGGCAGGGGAGACAAAAATAGCATCCTCAATAATAGTATTTTCATTACTCAAATAAATTACATTTTTTTTTATGCTACATATGATTCATCTGTACCTGATATTGAACTTCTTGGTGGTGGCTTGAAATTAATTTTTAATCATATCCAATTATAGTTTCATCAGATAAATTTAGGAATCTTAAAATGTGTGAGCTTCTATTTCCATTTTCTTTGTGGATGAGTTTTACTTAGGCATTGTTATTATTTAGGGTCATTTTCAGTTAACATGTTTTGTTTGATTCTATTTTAAGCATCAACAGCAAGTTGCAGCAGCTGTGGAGAGAGCTAAACAGGTCACCATGACTGAATTAAATGCTATAATAGGGGTAAGAATTTGACCCTTTTTTTATCTCTCAAAGAGCACGGCCTTGATTGCTATTTTTCTCTCTTTAGCATATGTGACATACATGTCACCCAGCTGTTTTTCAAAAGCAGTGAGAGGATGGTTTGATCACATATTACAAAAGACTGAGAAGAGACTGAATAATTACCTCACCACAGCTCAACAGCTAGCCTGCAATAGTTTCTGAAACAATAAGAAACACCCTATCTTCCCCTAAAAATGTACCCCTCCCCCCCCAACCCACCCACCACAGGCCAAGGTTTTCAATAACTTGTTCATCCACTGTTCCATTTTTGTTAACAACAGTAACAATGTGGCTCATGGCAAACAGGCTTTACTAAACTCTGTTCAAAATGCAAATTTCACTGTTCTTTCATTTATCAGTGACACCTGTCACAGGTGTTAGGGGTACAGTGAGCCATGTCCAGCGCTGGCCATGAAATCCAGAGTTTCTTCACTTCTTACTTAGTTCTACACTTCTCAGAGGTGTGGAAGTGTGGAATAGTCCGACAGAGTAAGGATATTGTCGCACTTTCCCCCAGTCATGAACCCTTTGTCATTCTTTACTTAGTTCTACACTTCTCAGAGGTGTGGAAGTGTGGAATAGTCCGACAAAGTAAGGATATTGTCGCACTTTCCCCCAGTGATGAACCCTTTGTCATTCTTTACTTAGTTCTACACTTCTCAGAGGTGTGGAAGTGTGGAATAGTCCGACAAAGTCAGGATATTGTCGCGCTTTCCCCCCGTCATGAACCCTTTGTCATTCTTTACTTAGTTCTACACTTCTCACAGATGTGGAAGTGTGGAATAGTCCGACAAAGTAAGGATATTGTCGCACTTTCCCCCAGTCATGAACCCTTTGTCATTCTTTACTTAGTTCTACACTTCTCAGAGGTGTGGAAGTGTGGAATAGTCCGACAAAGTAAGGATATTGTCGCACTTTCCCCCAGTCATGAACCCTTTGTCATTCTTTACTTAGTTCTACACTTCTCAGAGGTGTGGAAGTGTGGAATAGTCCGACAAAGTAAGGATATTGTCGCACTTTCCCCCAGTCATGAACCCTTTGTCATTCTTTACTTAGTTCTACACTTCTCAGAGGTGTGGAAGTGTGGAATAGTCCGACAAAGTAAGGATATTGTCGCACTTTCCCCCAGTCATGAACCCTTTGTCATTCTTTACTTAGTTCTACACTTCTCAGAGGTGTGGAAGTGTGGAATAGTCCGACAAAGTAAGGATATTGTCACACTTTTCCCCCTGTTAAGAACCCCTTGTCATTCTTTACTTAGTTCTACACTTCTCAGAGGTGTGGAAGTGTGGAATAGTCCGACAAAGTAAGGATATTGTCGCACTTTCCCCAGTCATGAACCCTTTGTCATTCTTTACTTAGTTCTACACTTCCCGGACGTCTGGAAGTGTGGAAAAGTCCGACAAAGTAAGGATATTGTCGCACTTTCCCCCAGTCATGAACCCTTTGTCATTCTTTACTTAGTTCTACACTTCTCAGAGGTGTGGAAGTGTGGAATAGTCCGACAAAGTCAGGATATTGTCGCACTTTCCCCCAGTCATGAACCCTTTGTCATTCTTTACTTAGTTCTACACTTCTCAGAGGTGTGGAAGTGTGGAATAGTCCGACAAAGTAAGGATATTGTCGCACTTTCCCCCAGTCATGAACCCTTTGTCATTCTTTACTTAGTTCTACACTTCTCAGAGGTGTGGAAGTGTGGAATAGTCCGACAAAGTAAGGATATTGTCACACTTTTCCCCCTGTTAAGAACCCCTTGTCATTCTTTACTTAGTTCCACACTTCTCGGAGGTGTGGAAGGGTAGATTAGTCTGACAAGTTAAGTTTAATGTCGCACTTTCCCTGAGTCACGAGAAGCTCAGTAAGCTTTATGAGCACTTCGTTTTATTTCTGTATGGTTTTTTTTCACATTCTTCCTTAAGAACTATTTTTATTTTGAATAGCAGATATAACCATTTTTTCAATGCCAGCTGTTGAAAGAAACTTAAAGTTAAGAAATCCGATCACCAACCAAGGTTTCTTCCTTATCAGTAAGGGTTCAAATTTGATCATTGTTAGATCACGCCATATATCCACTGTTTCTCAGTTTTTCCTCTTCTCTAAGGTTATGTAAATGCTGGACATAAATTATGAAAAAGACGAAGTGTCCTCTGTTCATTTTCCTTGTCATTTTTGCATATTTTGACAGCCAAGAGAAGGTCTGCTCGCAAACTTCTGTGTCAATCTGTAGGTGAAACACAAAGAGGTCATATGACAACATGAAAACGTCTGTATATCGCTTCATGCTAGAATGCACTTATATGCCGCCAAAGAATTAATTACCGTGATTAAATAACTTAGTCAGTGATAAGATTAAAATAAGTTTCAGTGTTCTGGCCGACGACCTATGAAATGAAACTGAGATCGTTATAGTACTAAATAAAATTAATAACATTGCACACCACATCTTTTCCCTCTCATTACCCCTTTGAGCTCTTCCACCTTGTTTGCGTCGCAGTTTTCATTGCACCACTGATCGACATGGCCCTTCATGTGCATTTTGTCCACCAGAATCGATAGCTCTGACAATCTCTTTGCAGTCCTTGTCACGTCCCGTCGAGAAGGGTTTTGAGCAAATGTAGAACTAAGTAAAGAATGACAAGGGGTTCTTAACAGGGGGAAAAGTGTGACATTATCCTGACTTTGTCAGACTTTTCCACACTTACACACCTCTGAGAAGTGTAGAACTAAGTAAAGAATGACAAGGGGTTCTTAACAGGGGGAAAAGTGTGACATTATCCTGACTTTGTCAGACTTTTCTACACTTCCACACCTCTGAGAAGTGTAGAACTAAGTAAAGAATGACAAGGGGTTCTTAACAGGGGGAAAAGTGTGACATTATCCTGACTTTGTCAGACTTTTCCACACTTGCACACCTCTGAGAAGTGTAGAACTAAGTAAAGAATGACAAGGGGTTCTTAACAGGGGGAAAAGTGTGACATTATCCCGACTTTGTCAGACTTTTCTACACTTCCACACCTCTGAGAAGTGTAGAACTAAGTAAAGAATGACAAGGGGTTCTTAACAGGGGGAAAAGTGTGACATTATCCTGACTTTGTCAGACTTTTCTACACTTCCACACCTCTGAGAAGTGTAGAACTAAGTAAAGAATGACAAGGGGTTCTTAACAGGGGGAAAAGTGTGACATTATCCTGACTTTGTCAGACTTTTCTACACTTCCACACCTCTGAGAAGTGTAGAACTAAGTAAAGAATTCATGAGTGGGGGAAAGTGCGACAATATCCTGACTTTGTCGGACTATTCCACACTTCCGCACCTCTGAGAAGTGTAGAACTAAGTAAAGAATGACAAAGGGTTCATGAGTGGGGGAAAGTGCGACAATATCCTGACTTTGTCGGACTATTCCACACTTCCACACCTCTGAGAAGTGTAGAACTAAGTAAAGAATGACAAGGGGTTCTTAACAGGGGGAAAAGTGTGACATTATCCTGACTTTGTCAGACTTTTCTACACTTCCACACCTCTGAGAAGTGTAGAACTAAGTAAAGAATGACAAGGGGTTCTCAACAGGGGGAAAAGTGTGACATTATCCTGACTTTGTCAGACTTTTCCACACTTGCACACCTCTGAGAAGTGTAGAACTAAGTAAAGAATGACAAGGGGTTCTTAACAGGGGGAAAAGTGTGACATTATCCTGACTTTGTCAGACTTTTCTACACTTCCACACCTCTGAGAAGTGTAGAACTAAGTAAAGAATGACAAGGGGTTCTTAACAGGGGGAAAAGTGTGACATTATCCTGACTTTGTCAGACTTTTCTACACTTCCACACCTCTGAGAAGTGTAGAACTAAGTAAAGAATGACAAGGGGTTCTTAACAGGGGGAAAAGTGTGACATTATCCTGACTTTGTCAGACTTTTCTACACTTCCACACCTCTGAGAAGTGTACAACTAAGTAAAGAATTCATGAGTGGGGGAAAGTGCGACAATATCCTGACTTTGTCGGACTATTCCACACTTCCGCACCTCTGAGAAGTGTAGAACTAAGTAAAGAATGACAAAGGGTTCATGAGTGGGGGAAAGTGCGACAATATCCTGACTTTGTCGGACTATTCCACACTTCCACACCTCTGAGAAGTGTGGAACTAAGTAAAGAATGACCAAGGGTTCATGACTGGGGGAAAGTGCGACAATATCCTTACTTTGTCAGACTTTTCCACACTTCCACACCTCTGAGAAGTGTAGAACTAAGTAAAGAATGACAAAGGGTTCATGACGGGGGGAAAGTGCGACAATATCCTTACTTTGTCGGACTATTCCACACTTCCGCACCTCTGAGAAGTGTAGAACTAAGTAAAGAATGACAAAGGGTTCATGACTGGGGGAAAGTGCGACAATATCCTGACTTTGTCGGACTTTTCCACACTTCCACACCTCTGAGAAGTGTGGAACTAAGTAAAGAATGACAAAGGGTTCATGACTGGGGGAAAGTGCGACAATATCCTTACTTTGTCAGACTTTTCCACACTTCCACACCTCTGAGAAGTGTAGAACTAAGTAAAGAATGACAAGGGGTTCTTAACAGGGAGGAAAGTGTGACATTATCCTGACTTTGACAGACTTTTCTACACTTCCACACCTCTGAGAAGTGTGGAACTAAGGATGAAAAAGGAAAGTAGGGATCTTGTGGCCAGCACTGGACATTTGTGTTCGCCAATACAGGTTCAATTAATACACACTGCCCTGCGCTGTCAGCTGGCAGACTACTGGAGTGGACTTTTTTCAAGCCCTTCTTTAAACTACAATCTTCTACAGAATAAGATGGAATCTCAACCTCATCTCTGTGAAATCAAGGATGAAACCATGCCAAGGCCAAAATGTGCCACTTTTCCATCCTTGATTTGGGGGGCTGTGGGGAGCTGAGATTTCTTCCAAGTTCCCTGGGTAACTTATCATTTGGGAGCTTAAGCATCGATGATGGGTACACCAGCGAAAACATCACTCAAAATTAATTTGCGTTTATTCCAATTTGCTGAAAATGTCAAGTGTAGGCGAATTTCCCTAGAGTTGATTTCTTGGAGACCGCACTCAAGTTTAGGAGGAGAAAGAAACATTCACTGTCGCTTGTTTACATCCTCCATAAAATGTGAAATTCGGCATTTTCACTTCGCATTCCTGCAGTGATGGCAAAGAAATGTACAAAAGAGTTTGATGCATGTGCAAAGTTGTTGTTTTGCTAATTAAACCTGTTGCATTTTTGTCAGTCTTGTTCCCATTGCCATTGTCGTTGCTAAAGCTCCCTTTTGTCTATCCTCAGTTCTGGGGCAGAGTGGGAGTGGTCCCCTATCAGGGGATTTAGTCCATGGTGTAGGGATCTTGTCAATCTGCCATCTTTGAATATTTTGGGGAGGCAAAATAACCACCAAGATAAAAACAATTAATGACTACCTATTCACAAAGTGACAGATGGCAAAAGAAAACTTGGCTGGCCTAATAATATCATTTTTTTTTGATGAGGTCACCCAGCTGGAATTTTATTTGGCCTGGTTTATATTACATGCCTCTCAGTACAGCTTGATTGAAAAAAGCTGGTCATAACTATAGAAGCTTAAAATGAACATAACTGTGTACCTAAACTCATAGGGTTTTTTTTTTAGACCAGGGTTTATTTTTTGAGAAGTGGTACTAAAAGTGTTCAAATACTTAAGGCTCATGGTGCCCTGGTTGGTCCTGTGCTTGAGCTGATTAACTCATGTTCATGATTGTTTGAAATCTCTTTTTGGTCACCACCTGTTTTTCCAAATACTTGATCGTGTTGACTGCCTGAGATTCTGTCATAGTTTGGGTAGTTTGCCTTTTTTGAATTTCTCCAGGAAGGGGAATTTCATCAGCTGCCCCGTAAATGTCAAAATCTGCTAGGGTTTGACCTTTTTAGCTTAATAAATTTCTTCCAAAGGGAGTCTCATGTGCCTTTGGTGTTGTTGGTATAGACTAGTTGCCTTACTGAATTTCCTTTTTTATCAATAGCAACAGCAGCTTCATCAGCAAGGGCTCCAAGGGCTCCAAGGTCTACATGCCCACCCACCCACAATACCACTGCCGCACCCAGGATCCACACCTCCTCAGCTCCCACCTGGGGCAGCTTCTGGCCTTCTTGCCTTATCCAATCTTACTGTTCAGCCACCACATCTACCAATGATGAAACCGGAAGATAAAGGTATGAATGAGCATGGAAGTTTTTATGTTCAGCTTGTTGAGACATTGTTTTATTAGCAGGGCTAGTCATAAAGGGCTGTGAACTGGGGATTTTGAGTTGGACTAGTTATAAGTATTCTGTTACCTCAGTATGTGCAAACAAAATATCTAAATGCTCATTGGATCACAAGGTGCAAGGAAGGCGACATAACAGAGAAAAGAACTAGGGAATTATAAGGACCTATGCATACACTTATTTTAAGTGTAGCTAGGGCTACTCTAGTAGAGAAAATAACATTACATTAAGAATATGTCAAGTTCCTGACTTTTGTTTCATCTCCTGCCGACTTCAAAATACGTAATAATGGTGAGAGCCCTTCAAATTTACCCAAAGTTGTTGGAATGTCTTATCTGCAGTGATTTTTTTTGTAAATACAGTTGTGGTGGGTCCTGGGACTCATCTTGTGAAAAATCGTGAGTCCCAGTCCAGAACCATTGAGTCCCAGTTCAAAAAACAAGGAGTCCCTGGGTCTTTTGTAACCACACAGTTAACCTGAAGACAAACTCCAAAACTCTGTATTACAGTTGACTGAAATAAAGATATACTCCTTCCATTGTAAAGCACAACAAAGACTAAAGGAAATAAGCATTGTTTAACAACAGCCTCATCCACAACAGCCACAGAAATCACACAAACAGGATATTCTACGAAAACATATTCAGATCGATAATTTGATCTTTGCATTCTACGGGACGCATAGTGCAAATTAATTTGCATCTTATGCGATTTTTATCTGTCAGTGACACAGGATGCAGCGGTAACAAAATCACTGTAACTTCCACCTTAAAGTTTTGAAATATTTATTTAGTGGTTGGATTAATATTCAGAGTATTGGGAGTAGTACAAGTTGCCTTTGATCATCATCTTATATATCATATACACTTTACAAAACAAAGAGTTATTTTGGTTTTGTTTTTTTTTTTACTCTAACCCATTATATTTTCTGTTTCTTTCATGTTGTACGTCACCATCAGATGGCATGGTATGTGAAAGTTTATTGTGTTATTTTATTTTATTCAGTCAACTAGATGGACATCACTGGGACAGGCACTTAAATTAAATGTACTGTTATAAGGCACAGCATTTTTTTCGACAAAAGTTTGCATGATAGCTCTAAATCTGTGGCATGTTTTGGGTGCATCTTATAACCAGAGTATTTTCGGGCTACAAAAAAAATTGTGTGATATTCAATTGCTCCAGCTACTCATTTTGTTCTTTTTTTATCAGTCCTCAATGACTTGTAAATCTGGTAAAGCTGGTAGTGGCCACAATGACTCATTTTGCGTTCGAAACAAATCATCACATCATTTCTTGTGGTTCGAATAGTGTGTTGTTGTAGTTAAGGTGATCATCACCACAAGTCGTTCTTGTACCTTATAGCCAGGCATTTTAGTTGAATTATTTTCAATTGCAAAAAAAACCCATTCAAGAGTTGGGAGTGTGTTTTGTAAACAAGTGGGCCAACTTTTTCAAGTTTTAATGCTCTGCCTGCAAAAGTCACCAAAAAACAGCTATGGTTAGTGCTCCCTGATGAAATATGTTTTATATCTTCTTCATATCTCTGTTGGAGTATTTTGTACTTAAAGGCAGCTAAATCAGTGTGTTATGAAACTGATGGTACAAGAATTAAGGACATGATCTCACAAGATGAAATTACTAATTTTATATTTTAACAACTTCTTTCCACTACTTCTATATATGTTAAGGGTTAACAAAATAATGAAGGTCTTTGAGTAGAGGCCCACCGTTATCAAATTCAAATATTTAATAAATATTATTATTCTATATGTAACATGAAACTGTTATAGTGTCAATTGGAATTTTCATTTTCTAGAACTCATTGTCACCTCTTGGACCAATGTCTCGAGAAAAATACAGACCATCTGACCTCTCATCGCATGGTAGTGACGACGGCCACATGGACAGGGAAAGAGACAGAGACAGAGAACGCGATAGAGACCGCGAACGAGAGCGTGAACGAGAGAGAGAACGTGAGAGGGAGAGGGATCGAGATCGTGACAGGGAAAGACATGTGAATGGTGAGTGTAAGTTCAGTTGAAATCAGTTAAAATGAAGAAAAAGTAGAAAACTATTTGAGCAAAAGCACTTGACAGTGCCCCTGCAAGCCTCCCTGGAGCCCCACACTTCAGATTAGTGAAACTACTGAATTGACTTTGGTTTTAACCTTGCCTGAATCACATGTAGCCTCATTTGAAGTGTAAGAAGGGTAGTACTTTGCCTTTTTATACAATCCTGATACACTTTTGATAACTTTTGCTGTCAAAATGCTTGATAAAACAGTTCAGTTTTCGTGTATGAATATTGAACTGGTGATTCACTTTTGCTATTTATGACAGTTACTCTAATCTACTTCAAACTAGGAATACATGTAAGTCTTCTCTGTAACAAAAATATGATAATTTAACATATGTTTTGTAATGTAAAGTAATTTAGTGAAGGTTGAGTAAGTTCCAAAGAAATAAATGTTCATTTTGACATATGCAAGAAACTACTGACGGACTTCTAGTGTGATACTAAGAAAATCCTACTGTTAGTAAGTGACATAACATCCTGACATTGACTTTTTAGGAACCAAAAGCAACATTAAAAGGAAAAGAGATGACAAAGACTCAGGGGTAAGTTTTGTTTCCAACTATGAAAACTTGCATTGAATTTTAGGCCCTAGATCTCGAGTGAAAATTTAGGAATTTTGTCTAACCACAGAGCAAATTGTTTTTTGTTCTTTAGGAAAGTGATGCAGAGAAAAGTGATGGCGACCTTGTAGTGGATGTTTCTAATGAGGTGGGTGTGCCATTAGTGGGGTGGGCTTTTGTTGCACTGACTCGAATGCTCTTCAACTTTTTTGTGTAGTTTGATGTTTTTGTAGACTGGTAAATATTCGTATTTGCCACTTATTCAAAAGTCACTTTTTTAAAGGCGAAAAAAAAGCAAAACCAAAAACAGCCTTGAATAAAGGTTTTTTGCGTCTTGATGGGGATTACGAAATTAAAACTGGCTTCGCTAATTGATTGCAGGATGCAAATTCACCACCCAGAGTCGAGAATGGACCTGATTCCCCTGTAAATGACAAGAAAAGTCGAAAAGATTCTGGCTCTCCCAACAATGCATCATCATCATCATCCACACCATCATCAAAACATCCCAAGGTATGCATAAATTGTTTGAACTCTTCATTAATGGATGAACTTGAAAACTGGCTAGCGGGGTGTCACAATCCCATAAGCCAGAGGGAGGTATCCATGGCAACACTGGAAAGTGGGAACCCCCTCAAACGAGCCTCCACTTATTGGCACTGTTACACGGAAAGAATTCAGTGGAAAAACTTGTCTAAAAAAATACTTACTCTCGTGTTCTCCCTAGGATTTTGGGAAGGCCGGGGGGTATTCTCACTTGGATTTTTAGCAGTGTTTGTACAAGGCCTGCTGAAGCCAGGAAAATTTTTTATAAAGATCGTGAACTTAATTTTAGTTGTTCATTTGGTTAGCAAGGAACTGTTTTTCTCCTTTTTTTCTGAGTCCCACAAATGGCAGCTGCTTTCTCAAAATCAGTCTTCTGATATTTGGTGTTTGGAATTAATTGATTTCGGAAGATTTGGTGTCATTTTAGGTGACTTTTAGGTAACCTGTACTGTGTAGGTTATAGGTTGGATTCCTGTTGGGAGTGTTTTCCTCTAAGCCACTTGTGTCACTAACTATAAAAACATTTTCTCAAATGTTAATGTGTTGATCTGTGGGATTTTTTTACAGTCAGAAAGCAAACCCATTCTTCCGTCATCAGAAAGCAGCTCATCTGGGAGGAAGAGCCCCTCGAGATCCTCACCGTCCGTAAAAACACCAGTAGGTATGTATCATTCATACAGAACTACATTGAACTTAAGCGGCCAAGATGACAAACAGCAGTGAAAATGCTTGTGAAAAAGTGAATTTCCATTAACTCAAGCTTCACTTTATTTACACATTCTTGCTTAATTTGTCAAATTTAGATGAATTTTCCTCGAGTTGAATTCTTAAGGACAGTATCCAAGTTCAAAAAGAGAAAGGAAAATTTTTTGTTGTGTGTTCATTCCCACAAAATGACAAAAAAATTAGGAAGTTTCACATTGTAGACGTGTAGTGGATGTCAAAAAAGTAAACTGGTTGCTGCCTTCATCCCTCTGATTGTATTAGCTCTCTACTATTTCAACCAGTGTGGTTGAGTGAGCAAAAGGAATGACGACCATCTTGTTGGTGTATTTTACAGCCGCCCCGGCAGTTAGAACAGCAATGTCTGTACCAGGAGGTCCATATCCATTTGTAAATCCACACAACATTGCCAGGTAATTATGGATTAAACACAAAGCGACAAAGTTAAATATCTTTTCATAATAGCACCTTCATTGAAGGCTGAAGGCCTGTAGCATTTCGCTGTTTTGCTGTGGCTAGGTTTTGGCACCCAGTTAGTGTTTTTGGTCATTAGTATGTTGAGTTGTCGTAGAATCATAAGAGCTCCAGCCAGCGGCGGCAATTGGAAAAATCCTTGACTCGCAGAGGACGAGACCCTGGTTCAAAACAGAATGAAACACATAAAAATGAGTCTTTGAAACGCATTATTAATGCTTTAGAGATAACAAGATCAGATGGGAATTTCCAAGACCCATGATTTTCTAGTTTACACTTCCAACCCCTATAGGTAGCTCTTTTTTTTCTGATGGAAGACTATCAGTTTCTTGTATTTAGTCGTTTTCTTCTTTGATGTTAGCTTCATCTTTCTTCACTTGGAAAATACCTAGTGTTGAAGTGTTCCATTGGAGGCGTACTGTACCTTACCTTACCTCACCTCTTCATGCTCCATTACACATAAGGCCTCCACACCTCTCTGTCATCCTGCTATTTTGAAATGTGTGTCTGGTTTCAGTTATGAGATTTTTGTTCAGGATGGGACATTTTCCCATTGCCCAATCCCCAACCTGGAGGGCCAGGTTATGCAATTCCCGTGGCCTTTCATACGAAACCTACCCGACACAGTTGAACCCACCAGGTCCCATTATTGGTATAGCTTAGAGGGTCATCAAGGCACACAAACCTCCGCACCACGTTCCTTGGGGAAAATAAGCTAATTTCTTTGGTATTGCTTTGTAGTGACCTGGCAAGCCCAACATCATTTTCCCCATCGGTCATGGCAGCCAGCATGTCAGCTGGTGGGATTGGTTATGGCCGGTCTCCTTTGGTATGTATTCTTTCTTGTCTGATGAATTTCAGTTTTTATTATTTGTTTATTGTTTATTTATTTTCACTATTTTGATCTCAGGTTGGCTTTGAGCATGGCAGCCCTGCAGCCAGAGTAGGCATGTCCCCATTAGGTCCCAGTATCCCAGCAGGTCCCCCAGGTGGCAAGCCTGCATACTCATTCTATGTGAGCGGGGATGGTCAAATGCAACCAGTGCCATTTCCGCCAGATGCACTCCTTGGTTCCAATATACCTCGCCACGCCCGACAGATTAACCAACTAAATCATGGAGAAGTTGTATGCGCTGTAACGATCAGCCATCCAACGAGACATGTATACACGGGAGGAAAGGTCAGCACTGTTATTTTTTACAATTTTCTTGAACTGTGGAATGAAGAAATATTGAAAATATTGATGTACACTTATTGAAAGCTTGCCGAACCCTGGCAATTCAAACAGTTACAGAACTCCGCACTGCAAGCACTGATTAACAATGCAAATATCTGAGCGGCTACATGACTGTACAGGATGGTTCTTTCAGAAAACGTTGCTTCTTGGATCCTCGATGATCGAAACTCGAGACTGGATCCTCGTGTCTCGAGACTCAATCCTTGCATCTCGAAACTTGCGTTTTTTGTTTTATGCAATGATTAACTATCAAGTGTACTGAAAAAAAAAATGTAGAGACGGTAGAGTGAAGAGTTCAAGCCTTATAAAGTCCTGTTAGAATGGACAGGGAATGTGCATTTTTGTACAATCTGTGAAATTACATTAGTGGTATGTGGTCCTGGAAAAGTCCGTAAAAATGGTTGCAATTTTTTGTATGAATCCTGAACTGCATAAGTTGGGTCTTCAACTGCAATGGTCTTCCTTGCATTTAATTTTGGTTAAGGTGATGCACAATTGCTGGATAACCCTAGGATAGAATTTCTCTTTGGAGTAACTCTCAAGCAGAGAAATCCTTGAGTGCTGTAGAATGTACATTTCATCTGCATGGACTGTTATTTTAGTTCAGCGGAAAAGGACCATCAGTGTTCTTAGTTTGACAGGAACAGTGGTAAGAATCCAGAAGATAGATGCAGAGAGGGCAACAGTTGAACTGTTCTTTAATACAGATAAGGCTAGTTTCAAAACTATGTATTGTAATACTGGTGCTTGTCTCAGCTTGACGGTTTTACCACTCTACAACATGTGACTTGAAGGTGACAAAATTTCAGATTGTTTTGTAAAACTGTTTGTTTTCCCTTGGTTGCAGGGCTGTGTGAAGGTGTGGGACATAGGTCAAAGTAGTGGAAAAAATCCAATTTCAACTTTAGAGTGTTTGGTAAGTCACCGTTTACACAATTCATAGTAAGAGACACATTTTAGCATCACTTAGTTGCAGGGTTGTCAATAAGGGTCGGTAGCCAGGCAAAACCGCCGGCTAGTTAGCCATCCTTAGCCAGCTACTTTTGTCTCCATCTATCATAACTGCTAACAAAAAGTTAAGCACCATCAAATAAAATTGTAAAACATCCGTTTCCCAGTTTTGAATGACATTGAACGCATATTTAAACAGGTTTGGATCTGTGAAACATTCAAACCGAGCGATGTGTTGGGACACCCGACACATTTTTACGGCATTGTTCCCACTCTTGCATGTATTCTGATGAAACTGCATGGCAGTGGAAAATATCTCTTGAAAACCCCTGGAAATGCCATTTTTGATAAGATTCAAAATGTCCCTAGATGCCTCGGCCCTCAAGAACTTGTACCTTTGGTGCGAGTTCCAGAGCCGCCTACCATTCACTATCAGCCTGCTACTTAAAAACGTTTTGACAGCCCTGAGTTGTGAGTTGTAATAGAGACCAGGTACCTTTGATAAGTGGCTTTCCTGTTTATAGAAGTGATTTTTGAATTTGGTATTCTGTAGTTTTAAAACTTGATTAGTGGTTGCTTTGTTTTGTTGCATACCCCTTTTGATTTTTCCCTAATTTTATTTTGTTCCGTTTTATTTCCTAGAGAGATAACTACATCCGATCTTGTCGTCTCCTGCCTGATGGTAGAACTCTCATTGTCGGCGGTGAAGCTAGTACTCTTACAATATGGGATCTTGCATCCTCTCAACCAAGAATAAAGAATGAACTTACTTCAAATGCACCAGCCTGTTATGCTTTGGCAATTAGTCCAGATTCTAAAGTATGCTTCAGTTGTTGTAGTGATGGAAATATAGCTGTGTGGGACTTGCATAATCAAACATTAGTCAGACAGTTTCAAGGTCATACGGATGGTGCTAGTTGTATTGACATTTCACCAGATGGTACAAAATTATGGACAGGTAAGGACTGCATGTACAAAAAACAAAATCTGTTATAACTTTTCTGGGCTTCATGAAGAGGCTGCTGTTTGCTCTAATCACCTCTGACTTGGATCAAAGGCATCAAAGTTAGACTGCAAAGGTGCTAATGACAGCCTATTGTTTTGCACATCAAATCGAAGGTATAACACCCCTGAAAAGAAACAGTGTTGTAATCCCCTTGATAAAAGGCAAAGACAACAGGATGGCTTATAATAACGTGCGCCACCCAAATTATTAAGACTTGGTGGTCCCTAACAGGAGGTTCAACTGCTGTGCATTGACTGGGAAGAAAGAATTGGTATTTCTGAAAGGCGGTCAGTTGAGTTTCATCTTGTGGACGACATTTGATTTGGGTCTGCCTTTTTTGAATGTACTACAGATTACGGGCCTATGACCAAGATCTCAAGTTGCTGAGTATGTGTATTTAGTGAGCGGGGAATTAACGAGCTCGGAAATTCTTTTGGTTCCATTCTTTTGTTTTCTATGACAATAGCTTGGAAATCCCCTTTCCTTAGATTTCTCCATCTCATTTAGTAACAGCCCTCCGGGCTGGAATACATTATTGTCACAGTAAAAGCATGAAAATTAATTAACTTTGCATTTTTCTGTACTTTCTAGGAGGATTAGATAACACAGTTAGATCTTGGGATCTTAGAGAAGGAAGGCAGCTCCAACAACATGATTTTACATCACAGATCTTCTCCCTGGGGTATTGCCCGTCTGGGGATTGGCTTGCTGTGGGGTGAGCTACTGACATTTCCATTTTTGTGATTTCTGTTTTTGAGTGTTGTCCTTGTGACGAGTGTAGTCCATGGGCTGAGTGTGGATCCTGTGTCGGGTAATGTCCCTGAGCCCTGACTTAATTAAGTCTGATCTCTAGTTTGACAGCATTTCAATTTTACGTTTAAAGCATCATGTAAAATTGCAGAGTGACCATCTTTTTCTCTGGCTTCCATTTTTTTGACCTGGCCACCAAATGGTAATGCTGAAAAAAAAATCAGCTTAGGGCACTGATATTATTATTATTGTCATTTTGAGTACTTTCCTTGCTGTTCAGCAGATTTAATGTTAACCTACATGCAAGGTGACTTTTTCAACCTTTTTTTAAGTTACAACTGTAAGACTTTTAAAAATTTTTTTCTTAATACAAATGTTTATTTTTCATTAGAATGGAAAACAGCAATGTGGAAGTTCTCCACCAAACAAAACCAGACAAATACCAGCTACACTTACACGAAAGTTGTGTATTGTCATTAAAGTTCGCTTACTCTGGAAAATGGTTTATAACAACGGGTAAAGACAATTTGTTGAATGCGTGGAGAACCCCTTACGGTGCAAGCATATTTCAGGTTAGTGTTTTAACTGAGACATCAGCTGTTCACTTAGCTCCCTCCCTTAAAGGTATTCATTCCTCTCCTTCCTTTGAAAAATATTTTCTTGATGATGTACACTAAACCCAGTCTTGAAAAAGTCAAAATAAGTCAAAAGTTAGGTGTACACTAAATTTACTCTGTAAGCTTTTATAGTAGTAATAACCAAAGGGTAGTGGGGGGCGATTGATGCAGATGCTCTCTTCCAACCTAGTACTTGTCGTTAAAGAAGGTTCAAAACATGTGTGATCAGATTACTAGTGATAGAACTTCCAAATGTGTGTGATCAGATTGCGTTCTATGCATTCCATTGATTTTCAGTGGAAGTTCAAATGAATGCGGGATACGTTGATTACTTTGTCTGTACCGTGCATGTGTAACTACAACCTGGAGATTAGGATTCTGGGCTTCTTTGATCGCCTGCAATATTAGAGAGCTTTAGATTCGAGGACAATATCGACTACGAGTACTAGATTTTACTTAAAGTTTTTTGCGTATTGTCAAAAAATAGACACCCCCCCCAATTGCTTCATTGTACTTTTTTGTACCAAGAAAGTTAGCACTGTTATCTTTATTAATGGAGGTTAAGCCCTCTGCCGATCACAAAATGATAAAACTTCTCACATTTGATAACTTGTTTCCGCCACTACAACATTCTCGCTCAAACTCATAGTGGAATGAAGATGGCTATCGCGTTTTCCCGACAAAATGATGCTGGTTCATGCACAAGAAATACTTCGTATTGAGAAAATCTCCTTCTCATAAGTCGTTTCAACCCCTTATAAGTTTCTGGTTGCATTGATTAATATAATATCAAATATCCCAATAATTGCATCCTTTTTTTGCAGTCCAAGGAGTCTTCATCAGTGTTGAGCTGCGACATTTCAGCAGATGACAAGTACATTGTGACAGGATCTGGTGATAAGAAAGCTACCCTCTATGAGGTCATATTCTGAAGTGCAGTTTGTGTAGGATAAATGAGCCACTTACGTGTGAAATGAAGAGAAAAAGCAGCACATGCAAGAATTCTGTGCCACGAGGATGAGACAGAGGCTGTGTTGATGTGATGTGATTTTGTTTTGTGGATCTTCTGGTGGAAGTCGTTGAATAAAATGCCGTCATATGTTCTGTGAAGTGCAGATTTGTGTGGATGTGATTCAGATGGAAGTTTTGTCACTAAGCCCCACAGTTCGTGGTGGCGAAGAACAGAAGAAGGTCTTCAAGTTGTTAAGATTCAGTGCCTACTCATATTCGGTGTGAAAAGAACTGTTTTCAAGCCTCTACAGATCATCTCTTTTTGAGGAACAGAGAAATATTAACATAATTCTTGTACAATGAAATCTGATAAATTATTCCAGCAACAGTGAAGACATTTTTATGACCTTTTGTTGTAAAGAGAAACTGCAAGAAGTCCCATATTTGACCCCCTTTTTTAGAGACGAAAAAAAGCATAGGGAGAGGTGGTGTGGGGGGGGTTTTTTTGTTGTCCCTCTTTTCCTCCACACATCACCTTTTCTGATCAGAGATTTCATGCATAGGGCAAAAAAAAAACTTGAATTCCAGCTTGTCCTTTGGCCAAGCAGCTGTCACAATTTTCTTGCTTGTCTTAGTTAATGATTTTGTTAGGCCTGGTTTAGATGCTGTGCTTTTCATGTGCTGAACCTAACTGAATAAGTTTGACCTTGGAGCGACACTGGCGCGACATCTGATTCAGAAGGCGTGCCATGTGTCGAACCTAAGTTAAGTTTGACAAAAGTTCGACAGACTCTGTCGTACGTAACGCTTTTTCCACACCAAACTAAAACCATTGTACCAAACTGATTCATACGCCGCTTTTTTGCCATACTTAATTCATCAGTTAGGTTCTGCACATAAGTGGAGCGGCTTCTGAACTGGGCCTTAGAAGATGACTTGCTCAGACCTTTAAAGATTACTTGCCCAGCAAGAAAAACAACATGTCCCAGGCTACTAGACAGGAGCTTTTTCAAACCCTGATGCCTTCCCTTACTCTACCATGGGAGATTACTTTAATGCTCAAACTCATTTTACACAAAGTGTTTTAAAACATGGCTTTCTTTTCTGTCAGCATATTGGTAAGAACTGTGAAGTGGATTCATTCAGGCAAACTGCTGTTGAATGCAATGAATCCAGATAATGTGTGTTTGTGCAAAAACCCTTGGTCATTCCCAAAAGTCAGTACTGATAGTTAAGTCAGAGTGAATCATTTTTTAGTGTAAAATACGTTTTAAATTTACATGGATTGTATAAATTGTCATCATGACAACTAGAATATTAGTGTGCATACATTTCTCTCAACTTCTTTTGTTAAAAAGTAAACATTTGCAAAAACATTAAAATTTGAATATTGACAGATTTGCTGCTGTCCTCTGTGTGTTTACCTTGCAGTGTCCCCTTTCATTATTGAGCTCTCAAAAACTCTCTATCTTTCTTTCAAACATACCTATAATATATATTCTCATCGCCTAATTTGGTGTTGTTTTTGTTTGTTCGTTTTCTTTCCAATTGTCCTAAACAATAGACCAATTTTATCATAATTATCAAAGTCAGGGGCAGATGCAGACCTTTAAGTAAGGGGGCCCCGGGCATCCAGACCCTGAGATAAGTGGGGGTGGGGGAGGTCTTCAAAAAAAAAAAAATGAAACAAAAGAAATGTAATATTCATCCTTGAATTTTAAGGTGATTTTGTCCTCAAAGCCAAGAATGAAATTTAAAATACCAAAGTTTGTCCATTTCCACAAGCTTTTGATTTCTATGTACAGTGTATTTTCGTTTTGGTCTTGTTATAATTTCTTACGAATTTTTCTCAGCCTTTGTATTTTCTTGACAGAAACTGGCAATATGCATTGGTAAACTGTGTACACTTCTTTGGCTGAGATAGCTTATTTGAAAGTTAAAAGAAAACTACAGTGGAACTTAGATTTAACAAACCCTGTAAAAGACCTTGCTTTAACAAATGATATTCTTCACCCCAGTGATAGTAAAATATTCCAATAATTATGGAAAATAATCTTGACATAACGCCGTTATAGCGAACATATTTTGCCAGTCTCTTAGCCTTTCCTTATATCATTGTGGTTTACTGTAGTGGCTGTTTTGAATCTTGCGTTACTGTGAAACATCTATCATAGTTGGTTTCCTTGAGGGACATGAAAGTATGCAGACAAAACTCAGATTTTCAACATTGTTTGATAGTGTCATATAGCAGGGCTACCACTGGGCACCTGGCTTGCATAGCTGGTGGTTTTGTTTAGGAAAGTAGCAAAATAAGCAGGAAAGCCCCATTCCTCTCATGGCTTTGCTGCTCATTGGTGCACTTGCCAATCAAACTACCATCTACACAAGGAATTGGGCACAAACGTTTCACATTGTCTCTATATATTAGCTGCAGTTTGGTCCTTGAAAGGTAGAACTACTCTGACAGTGTCTAACGGAAAAAAAAAATAAAGTAGAAAAGCCAATAATAAAAAAGCAAACAGTTTTAGAAAGCACATCTTTCTGAAATCATTCATTCATCATCTCTGCTCTTCTTTTAAATATATACATTTTTTTTCTCTGAAACATCGGCCTTTTTTTTTTTACGACTGAATGTGGGTTCCCAGAGAAGCAATGTGATTCATTGGCGGACTGAATCTTGAATGAAAAAAAATGAATGAAACTGGAGAAATCCTGGCTACGCCCCTGGCCCCCTGCAAAGGCTTAGATAGTCAACTCTGAGACTGGTGCAATGTGCCCCTCTTAGAGAGTTCTCTGTCTTACAAAGACTCAATAATATATTAAAAGATAAAAAGAAATGTTGAGGTGTATTTGAAGTCAAAGTCCCGAACTTCTACTTTTTTCACGGCATTTGAATAGGTAACTCTATGAAATTAACACCTTGCTTACTACTAAATTGAAATAAGTGCCAGGCTGGGAAAGATGGTTTGTGTTTGGTGTGTGATTTGCATTTTCATGCCATTTGTTTAGTTTTGTGAATATTCAATAACCTTAGCACCGAAAGCCTTGACTTATTAAATGCTAGACGCAGGAAAGATAGGCCAGGTGACAGGTTATTTAAAAGCAAAATATTCGTTATGCAACCTACATTTCCAAAGAGTCACCGATCAATCACACATCAAAGATACGAAGCTTACTAGCTATAGCCGTACTGTGGAACACAAATTGTAAGTTGATATTTGCCAGTCTTTGCATCAACCAAAATTGATTTCCATAGTAACTTTTTGTAATATTAATTTGATTTTTCAGTTGACTACCACTACGATGACACCCTTTGGATGCCATGATTTGATGTTGTATCATCAAGTGCAAATAAACTTCAGTGCGTAAAACTCTGTTAGTGGTTAATCTTAAAATAAAAGTGGCCCGTTCAGACACAGGAGTGAATCAGTGTGTCTACTTTCATGACCCACATTTCAATAGTTTTTGAGAGAGTAATAAAGAAAAACTACCAGTTAGTGAAAGAAAAAGTTCTACATTCTGGGATTTTGAAAATTACACCATCTAGGGCAAGGCAAGAGAGAACTTGGTACTAAGTTAACCATAATCGATACTCAGGGGCAAGATGCTTTCAACCTTCTGTTAAACATAACTGCTTAAGTCTGGCATTAAATTAGAGAGTTTTACCAGGCTGATCGTTAGCTGTCATGTCAAACGTCAACATCCATAATAATTACCCTGGGAGTTCAAAGTGAGGAAGCCACCTTTATCTTCACTTATCTAGTGCTTTTCAATGTTTTTTTGGCACACAGCCACAACTTGGCAATGTTCACATGGCATGGTATTTATCTTCTTATAGATGTACTGTACTTGTCTATCACTTGTTTTGCTTTCTCATAGCATTTTCCTGTCTTCTTTGTGCCTTTCTTTGTCTTCTTCTGTGAGTTATATTGTTAATGTCAAATGATTGGTCACCAACAGATAGTTTTTTATCATCATCAAGAATGTTCCACAGCCATTCTGGGTATTCACTGTCAGGCAGCAGAGGGGGATCAGATCCTTCTTTTAAGTAATTTATACCTTTGCAAAGTTTCTGTTCACTAGCACCTCCTGCCCAGTAAAAAAAAATCACAAAACAGGATAAAATTTGTCCGGTTATTAGTTGATAAATGCTTGTGAATATGTTTTAAGACAATAGTTAGTACCAAGAAATTCCCTGTAAACAGTGTAGAAAATAAAGTTGAAATTGAAGTTGATTTGAAACAATAAAAATCAATATTAAAATTAAGCCTACTCCTACTTAATATAAGTGGACAAAGCGGCTGATTTGCGCCCATGTTGATCCCCTCTTTATCAAGTTGTCATTCACAATCTTTGTACACTGATTAAGGTTGTTTAATAGTATCTTCAGAATCGATTTTAACTAACTTGTACTTATAAGTATTTTGTTGCGCTAGGGATTGATCGGATGACAGAAGACACGTTCATTACTGAAAAAGAAAACCCACAGAAAATACACTTTTCCCTTGTTATGTGCCTTTTCGACCTATCATAATCTTACCTGTATTACTGGAAAACAGAACTGCGGGTTTAGGTGCTGATCTTAGACAAACGTTCGCTGTTTTTACAGAATTTTTCCATAAGCCACGAAAAACACAACCGATAGCCGCCATTTTATTTTTTCCTGAGCCAGCGATCCTCAATTTGTGTAGATATTTCATATATGGTGCATAAAATATAGCTTTTATTTGGTAGTTCTTTTTCCCAGGGAGGGGAAAGAAATCATTGACAAATGCTGAGTTTTTCTGTTTTTGTTTTTGTTTTTTTTGCCTTTTTCGAAATTTTTTAGAAAGTTTTTTAAAACGGAAAACGGTATTTAAAAGAAGATAAGTGAAAGCTTATTTTATGCAAGAAGTATTCTGATAGTGCAAAATTTTAACTCTCTCTACCCTACAGAAAAACTTGGGCACGTCGTCAAACAAAATAAAATGGCGGACCGAATGTCTGACTTTGAGTTAAATCATGTTCCTTGTGAAGCCAAAGATTTTAACACTGCAAGGTGTCGGGTTGCACCACTAATAATTGAAAAGATTGGCGGAATAATTAATACTCCAGTTCGAATAGCGACAGACTCTGGATTTGTCTTCTGTACACTGTGGCCAAGACATGATGGACAAGACAAGATCGTTCAAATTGATGGCCTCGTAACCTTGCCAAACAGCAAGAAAACGAACGTAAAAAACGGCATTTTTTGTACGAAGAAAATATCTTCTAAAGACATTATCATAACCAAGCCCGCTGATGCAGAGACTATTGTTGTATCTTTGTTTTTGTCAAGCTCCAGTTCTAATGACTGTTTTCACGGTCTGAATCAGAGTGCCAGAGAATTGAAGGAGAAAACAATGGTCCGTAGTATTTTAAGAGGCTGCGTAATAATGCATGGCTGTGTTATTCAACCAAAGGAATGTCGAAACGTTCAAAGACCCAAAAGAATTGCCAAGATTTTGATTGTGTCTACAAAACCGTCAACCCAGTCTTTGGAAGATCAACCGATTAAAGTAACTGATAAAACAGAGATTAATGTTAAGTCAGTTAGATCAGGCCAAATCCTTGAAGATGACAATAATCAAATTTTAGCCGGCTTGGATGATGTTGCAAGAGAACTTCAAGAGCTTTTAAGTTATCCCTTTCTATACCCTGGGGCATTTGCGCAATTAGGACTTGAATGCCCTAAGGGAATTTTACTTCAAGGGGCTCCAGGTGTTGGAAAGACACTCCTTGTCAAGAGCGTCACATTGCAGTGTAATGTACAGCTGATAACACTCAATGGAACTGATGTGTTCAGGCCACATCCTGGGGAGAGCGAAGAAAATTTGAGAAAAATGTTTGAGACTGCGAGGTGAGGTAAATTGCCAACAATATACAGAACACCAAGGGCTTATCACATTGCAATATTACCTCCATAGTTTAATAGTACAGGAGACTGGTGAGGAAAGCCGGCAAACATCAAAGTTGAAAACAACAGTGCTGCAGGTTATGTTGGAAGCTCCCTGACTGTGCACAATCCTTTGTTTTGTGTTCACAAATATTGTGACTGAATAAATTAATGCAATGTTTCTATTGGTCGGTAAGTTCAAAATGATGGGAATGCTATTGAATGTTGTGCACGGTCAGGTCCAAAAAAGGTAACAAAATCATATAACAAAGGGTTTCCCAGCCATTCCACTTTAATTAACTATGGTTACCACGCACCTGCAGCTCATGGTTCCACTTGAGTTTTAAACATTTGATACCATTTCTATGTTCTATAAGAGTACATAGAAAGGAAAATTGTTTCAAGTCTGCCTTAATTCCTTGGAACATTATGTATAATACCTGCATTGTTGTGTTGGTCCTTATAGCTTGAGAATACAGCCAACATTTTCTATGCCACCACTGGTTTTCCTTGAAATGATGTCTGAGGAAGGAGTAGCCTGCAAACCAGGTGTTTTTTTAAGAGAAGCTCAGATGTATATTAATCGTGGCTGCCATCTTGACCTGATCTCTCCCTTGGAATCATTTTTTGACTTTCCCCAATTCTCTGCGAGTTTCAATGTCCAAGATGGAGGAAGAACAGTAGTATCATCATTTACAAGCTGCAAAATACCCCTGCTTTACAGGCTGAGGAAGGAGTCTAGGTATGGGTAGTGCCTCTTATTGGTTAAAGATTAGCTTCTTTCAGTCAGAAGCACTACCTTGATATGACACGTCATCAGTGTCGAATTTTTGCACTTGTTCCTCTGACATCATTTCATAGGAAACCAGTGGTGGCATCATGAAACGTTGGCTGTTTTCTGTGGCTAGATTCTTTATAGATGAAAAGTGTTAACCCTTTAGGTCCCCAAGAGTGACCACCATCAATTTTCTCCTAACAACATTGATCAGCAGATCATCAAGAGTAAAGGTTATGAGAATTACTTAATTGATTACCAAAGAGAGAATACTTTGATCTTAAACCAAATTCTCTAAACTATTCTTAAAAGAAATGTATGGAGATAAGTCTGGAGAATTTGTATGTGGATCTTGAGACTTAAAGTGTTAAATGTATTTGAGATTGCTGGAACGTTTCCTTTTCTTTAGGAATGCTTCACAGTATGGTCCATGTGTCTTATTTATTGATGAACTTGACGCTCTGTGTCCTAAGAGAGGAAGCAGTGTTGATGAGCAAGAAAACAGAATTGTTGCACAGCTTCTGACTCTTCTTGATGGTTTGGAATCCAGAGGTCAGCTTGTCATTATAGGAGCAACAAATCGACCAAATGCTATTGATCCTGCTCTTAGGAGACCTGGCAGGCTTGATAGAGAGGTCAGAATGAAGGAGATATTTAGCTTTGTTAACAGTGTTGAGAATTGGCTGAAATTTTAGAATTGATCGTCTTAAAGTAAATAATTTAAATGACCCAACCAATCAATCATTTATTATAACAATAAAAAAATTCTTAATTATAAGAATTCCATTCATTTTTCCTTCATGTGCCATTCAAACCACTGTCTCACACGAAACGTGTCTGAAATTTCATGAAATTTGTATAGGTAATAGCATGATTTGTGGTGATATTTGGCATAAATACCGTGAGTGATATTTCGAAATTGTTATACGTAAATTCACGAGCCGTTAGGCGAGTGAAATTTGAGACAATTTTGAAATATCGCAAGTGGTATTTATGCCAAATATCACGTACAAACCATGCTATTATTTGTTTATACTACTACCCACAAAAGGTTTGTAATTTTCGCATGTAGGTATTTCAAATTAAGCTGAAATACCACTGCTCTAAGCCAATCAAATTGCAGTAATTTCTCATTCAGTAGTATAATAAATGAAAACTGTCAGGCAATGCTTCCCTTTGGAGCTCTTTGTTTGTCATGCAAAAATTATTGTTCTGACTGTGTTATTGTATAAGAGGCTCACGGCGAGTTTTTTTTTTGAATGTTAATAATTTATAGGTTATTATTGGAGTTCCAAATGCTCTCCAGAGGCTTTCCATTTTAGAAGCACACACTGCTTCCCTGAAGATAGCTCAAGGAGTCGATCTGGCTCACCTTGCGGAACTGACTATTGGGTATGTGGGTGCTGATATAGTTTCTTTGTGCAGAGAAGCAGCATTTATTTCTCTGAAAAGGACTTTAGGTTGCGGTTACAACAAAGGGCTGGACATTTCAAGTGAATGGGCAAATGTGGAAGGTAACTAGAAAATTGTTTGTATAGGTAATAGCATGATTTGAAGTGATATTTGGCATAAATGCCACGAGTGATATTTTGAAATTGTTATACGTAATTTCATGAGCTTTTAGGAGAGTGAAATTTGAGACAATTTTGAAATATCGCAAGTGGTATTTATGCCAAATATCACGTACAAACCATGCTATTATTTGTTTATACTACTACCCACAAAAGGTTTGTAATTTTCGCATGTAGGTATTTCAAATTAAGCTGAAATACCACTGCTCTAAGCCAATCAAATTGCAGTAATTTCTCATTCAGTAGTATAATAAATGAAAACTGTCAGGCAATGCTTCCCTTTGGAGCTCTTTGTTTGTCATGCAAAAATTATTGTTCTGACTGTGTTATTGTATAAGAGGCTCACGGCGAGTTTTTTTGAATGTTAATAATTTATAGGTTATTATTGGAGTTCCAAATGCTCTCCAGAGGCTTTCCATTTTAGAAGCACACACTGCTTCCCTGAAGATAGCTCAAGGAGTCGATCTGGCTCACCTTGCGGAACTGACTATTGGGTATGTGGGTGCTGATATAGTTTCTTTGTGCAGAGAAGCAGCATTTATTTCTCTGAAAAGGACTTTAGGTTGCGGTTACAACAAAGGGCTGGACATTTCAAGTGAATGGGCAAATGTGGAAGGTAACTAGAAAATTGTTTGTATAGGTAATAGCATGATTTGAAGTGATATTTGGCATAAATGCCACGAGTGATATTTTGAAATTGTTATACGTAATTTCATGAGCTTTTAGGAGAGTGAAATTTGAGACAATTATGAAATATCACAAGTGGTATTTATGCCAAATATCACGTGCAAATCGTGTTATTATTTGTTTATACTACTACCCACCAAAGGTTTGTAATTTTCACATGTATTTTAAAATCAAGCTGAAATACCACTGCTCTAAGCCAGTTAAATTGCAGAAATTTCTCATGTAGTAGCTCTGCTGCCAAAAATTTTCCCCAAACTCAAACAAGTGAGCCTGCCAGCAGGCTAGGCTGTTACATGTGACAAACTCTTCCATTTTGTAATGGAAAGAATAATGAAATGGCTCAACAACAAATTATTGACAGGCAAAACACTTTTTAATTTATTTCCTTGATTTTGTCCAGTTTTTACCAGGGGCAAATTTTATGCCCAGTGCCTTTGAGGGTTGTCCTGTCCCAGACAAAGTTTGAAAAATTGTGACAAACCATCTGCATTTTTCAAGCGTTGATGATGACAGAAAATTTGCTAGTGCAGATAGACCCTGAGCCAAACTGAGTAAACTTTGAAATAATAAATTGTAACAATGAAAGCATATAATATATTTTATTTTATTTTATTTTTTATTATTTTTTTGCCACACAGCATAAATTACAAGTAGTCACTCAAGTAAATCATCAATAAATCAATATTCACTCGAGTAAATCATTGCATTGTTCCATATGCCCAAATTCCCAGTTTCCAATTACCAATGGTTATTTACCAAAGCAACCTTTTTTGATTTAGCTGTATACATGTATTGGGATTTTTGAAAACTGCCCTGTCCATCCTGTCCATTTCTTAAAGTTTGTCTGTGTTGTTGCTGTGTGTTGCACATGCAAAGTTGTTGTTTTGCCAATCTCAACCTATTGCTTTTTTGACATAATTTCTTGTTGACATCGCCATCGCCATTGCTTAACTGCTTCCTGTCTTACCCGTATCATTACTTAATTGATTAGGCCATTGTTAGTCTTTTCATGGTCAATGGCCTATCCTGCTGGTGTTTGGCCATTAGGAAGTTTAAGGCATAAATATTGCCTATGCAGGGCCAGATTAAACTACTTAACAGTTATTCCATAGCCCATGAGGCTGAAGACCAAATGGGCTATTGACTCAGAGGCCATGAGGGCGAGAGGAAATAATTTATTGTTTTAGTAAAATCCAACTGGTTGGTCAAAAATATCGAGATTAAACAACTTTAGCTAGCCAAATACGATTCAGCTGCCATTGTTTTGGTTTTCAAAGCCGGCGCTTTTCGCTACTAGTGGGCTATAACATGTAGCCTAGTAGTCGCTCAACCAGTCAAAACGCAGCATTGATAATAGACCACTAGTTGGATTTTACTAATGTCTGATAGCCTGGGGCTATTGGGGCCCCAAGGGGGTACTCCAGATTTCAAGTGCCAGAGATGATCGAAAGGGGGCAAAAATCAAAACCCAAAAACTTCCGTAGGGCTTCCAACAAAACCCCAAAAATCCCTGGACCAAAAATTAACCTCCCAAAAATCCCATGTCAGATTTTAAAGCCTTAAACATTTCACTGCCATGAATCTTCAGATTGTTTTGAATACCCAAAAAAATCTCTTCTTAAATCAAGCCATCTCCAAAAAAATACTTGCCAAATTTTTCTTCCAAAAAAAACACCTTAAATGGAAAATATCAAACCCCCCAAAAAACTTTGATCATCTCCATCACTTGAAATCTGTGGTACCCCCCTGGGATTGGAGTGTCCTGTCAGCTGACCAGCATATTGTTAATAAAAAAATGCCTGGTGTTCAACCAACATTCGCTGAGAAAAGGAAATGTTATTGAGAAGGGGGATTTCAGGTAGGCCAGCTGCTTGTCATACTGCTCCAGGCTAAAAAAATTCAGCATCAGTGATCTTTTTTTATTTCATCTCACCCTGCTGTTAGCAATAAATATATACAGAACAGTCTGAAAAAGATCATGATTTTATAGAAATCTACTGAGAGTGACCCCTCCTTTCTTGTTAGAAGACAGAGCTAAGGTAACCATGGCCGATTTTCAGCTAGCCCTGTGCCATATTGTTCCTTCTACATATCGTGGCTTGGAGGGAATGGTTGAGTTGCGCCCTGTTAACTGGGATGACATTGGTGGGCTGCAAGATGTTAAACTAGCCCTCAAACAGGTGAAACTTTCGCAGATGCAAGATAATACCATAAACTGCGGCTTATAGGCTCCCCCACTTATAAGCCCCCCAGTTATAGGCCCAATGTCCACCTGTAAAACAATAATACGTCAGATTATAAGCCTCCTCTGCCTTGTATTGAAATGAATTTAATTTATTATTAAGTTTTAAAGCTTAATTAAAAGCCAGTAAATGTACTGCTATACATGTATGTACATCTAGCTTGTTTTGAAGCGCTTTTCCTATTCTAGTTACAAGTGTCTTCAGATGTAAGCTCCTCCGTTTATAAGACCTTGTAAAACCCGTTACAAAGATGTATAGGTACTAAAAGTAGAAGAATATTTTAAGTGGTGTGTGAAAAGGTTTTCCAGCACATTCTTTCAAGAAGTAAGTTTCTTTTAATAATTCCTGCAAAATGCATTTATGCTTTGCAAAAGACATCTTTTCTTTTGTGTCTTTGTAGAAAAGTCCCAAACTTTGTCTTGCATTTCATGAAGGTATTATGCAGTCAGGGTGATTGATGTTTCTATTTACAGGCAATTGAATGGCCATTAAAGCATCCAGAATCCTTTGCACGCCTGGGTCTTAGTCGCCCTAGAGGTGTTCTACTGTATGGCCCACCAGGGTGCTGTAAAACCACACTTGTACGCGCAGCAGCAACATCTTGTCAGTGTACCTTCATGGCCCTCAGCTGTGCACAGCTGTACTCACCTTTTGTTGGAGATGCAGAGAGGAAATTAAGAGAGGTGCGTTAAAAGTAGAATTTCTTAAGTGCCGTTAACCGAGAGAACCTGGGGACGAGTTTGAGTTGTCGGCAGAATATTATTTTACTTGTTTCACGGCGAACTATTGTCTAAAAAACATAAGAAGAACAGCAAGAAGGCAACTCGACGGACAACATCTGCTATTTGGAGCATATTTCGAGACGTGAACAGCCCTTTATCTCCTAAGCTTCCCGATAAACATGCACTATTGAGATGAACGTAACATTGTCGGAGGTAAGCATGTTTTAGCTTGTTTTTATGCTAGGAAAAAATTTGAATGAGTAATAAAAGAAACAATTATTGATTTCGGCTTTCGTATCACCTGAAGAATTATGGAGATCTCGGAGGCTGTTATTCTCACTCCTGATGATATGTCTACGTGAATTATTGGTTTCAATAATTATTTGCACAGCCTCTCCAGGAATAGTAATAATTATCATCATCAGCATCATCATCATCATCATTGTTATTATCATTATTTATATTTATTACTATTATTGTTTTATTATCATTTTTATCAAAATTAATATTTCTGAAACATGTCTGTATTGTTTCAGGTTTTTACGAAGGCTCGTGCTGCTGCTCCTTCAGTGCTGTTCCTGGACGAGCTGGATGCCATCGTGGGCAAACGGTCAGGAAACAGTAGTACTGGGGTCGAGAGCCGACTGCTTTCCACTCTGTTGAATGAAATGGATGGGGTTGGTGTGTTGGCAAACATCTACCAATCAGGGGAAAGGAACTCTTGTAACCATGGTAATGAACAGTTGATGAGAAGGGACTGCGAGTCAGGTCACCTTGGAAATGAGCCCTTTTCGATTAGAACACAAAGGCTTAAACTTATCAGCTCTTCAGCTGTAAAAGACGTTGTTATTGTGGCCGCCACCAACCGTCCAGATGCTATTGATGAGGCTCTTCTCAGGCCGGGCCGAATTGATCGCATCATTTATGTGCCACCACCAGACATTGAGGCCAGGTTACAAATTCTTAGAGTGCATACTCGTGCTATTCCTCTAGCGGAGGATGTTGATTTAGAGGAGCTGGGGCTGAGTACTGAGCTGTTCTCTGGCGCGGATATTGAGAACTTGTGCAGAGAGGTAAGGGAGGTTAACTATGTTCAGTCCTAAAAAATTCGACGTACAATTGGCGTAATTGTATTTACAATTATTGAAGAAGGAGAATGGTATCAGAAATTCAATTCAACATAAGATAAGGTAGTTTCTACGTTGTATTCTATCATCCATTTGTAGTTTAACTAGTTTAATTTTTAGGGTATATTTTTATTGAGTGTATAGGCAACTAGGACATAACAAAAGATATGTCCTTTTATCTTTTGGCAATAAAGACTATCGTTTATTATTAATTTATTCAGTTGTTTCGTCTTGGGATAGCTGTGAACGCCATTTTTTTTAGTTTACTGTTTATTGACCAAGCAATCTCGATGAACCTCGTTTCCAAGCAAATGCACCATCAAATTGAAAGTATATTGCTCGCCTCCTCCTAATTTGGTCAATGCCTACTGGTTATGAAAAAATTAGCTGGGAGATTTGAGCCAATCAGAAACAGCGAAATTTTTAGAATGAACAATAAAAGAGTTTATTACGTCTCCCTTCCTCCTCCTCTCCGCGTTTTAACGCATTCATGTCAGTCAAAAGAAGATAAACTCTGATTTATGGGTAATATTATTATGGTTATTTTTCAGGCAGCGCTGTACGCGTTAGAAGAAGGAGGCATGACAGTGAGTAAAGTTGAACGCAAGCATTTCATGGCTGCTTTATCCACAGTCAAACCGTCCCTGACAACAACTCAACTCAAAGAATGTCAGATGGCACTTCGGTAATTACATCTCTTAATTTTGCGGATTAGGTACTCCCGTATAGAATTGACTTGGTTTAAGTTGGAAAACATCTGATACAAAATTTCTTTATTTCTTTATTCATTTACAAACTTCGCCAAGAGACCTGGAACAATCACGGAGAAGCCATATAATACGAGGTCCAGAAAATAATAAAAAATAATAATATTGATAACACTAATACAGTCGACTCTCTCTTAATGGACACCTCTGTAAAACGGACGCTTAGAGTTGGTCCCTGCCTTTCTTTACTCCCTTTATTTGACTCTCTATGAGACGGACACCTCTCTAAGACGGACACTTAGTGCCGGTCCCAAAGGTGTCCGTCTTAGAGAGAGTGTACTAACAATGATGACAGTGCACTTGTGGAAACAATAGAAACAGAAACAACAAACAGAATAGGGGCAAACATTAATAAAAGAATCAGCAACACATTGGATGGAGCAAGCTGGTCAGTGGCCGAGTAGTGTGGCAATTGATACACACACTCTTATAGGTCTGGGAAGGGGGGTTGACATCATAAACAGACTTAGTGAGATACAAGGAGTAATTAAAAAGTTGTTTCTTGAAATGGCAAACTGAACAGTCAATGCTCCGGAGGTGGTATGGTAAAGTGTTCCGGTTTCTTGGGGCTGCGCAGTAAAAGCTGTTCTGAAAAGTAACGTGAAATAAACAAAGTTATACTTTTTATGACAGACCTCATTTTGTGGGCGTGGTTTGAATGTTGTATAGTTCCTGTCCTGTTTTTTCCTGATAGATACCGCGATCATTATAAAGGCGGTTACCATAAAAATCCGAAAATAAGCCCCCGGGCTTATATTTTTCAAAGGCCTTTTATGACGGGCTTATATTCGGAGGGGCTTCTCTACGGACGGAAATCGATTGGGCTAGCCTTTTAGTTTTTATAGTTGGAAGTAAATTTACCGTTTTTGCTTTGTTTTACTTTTCATTTGAGGGCAATTTTCCAAGTACAAGCCCCCTGGGGGCTTATATTTGGAGGGGCGATTTAACGGAGGGTTTTTTGCGCTCCGGGTTGGGGGGCTTATATTTGGAGGGGCTTATACGTGGAGGGGCTTATTTTCGGAATTTTACGGTACTTTATATTTAAGCTCCGTGCAAAGCGATGTGATCGCCCATGTAACCTATTGCCTGGTTCCCCCGCGGACCTCAGCTTGAAACATACACTTTCCCGGGACCTAAAAAAAGAAACTGACTATGGTTTGATAATAATATTTTTAACATACAAACGAGAAATATGATTTGTAATTGCATTGACAGTCGATGTATTACGCGAAGTCAATTGATAGAGAGAACAGTGTTTGTGCAATTGAATAGCTATCTTGGCGAAAATGATCTATACGAGCCTCTTCAATCAGCGTACAAGATTTTTCACAGCACCGAGACTTCTCACTGTTACAAATGACATTATGCTGTCATTGGATAAGGGCGAGAATGTTTTCCTTGTCTTATTGGATCTGTCGGCAGCATTAATTTTTGATACCGTTAACCATTCCTTGCTGCTGGCTCGACTGCAGAAATCATTTGGCATCAGAGGAACTGTACTGCATTGGTTCGATTCTTATCTTTCTCAAAGAACTCAGTTTGTTAACATCAATGAGGCGAATTCTACGGTACGAGATCTTTCCGTGGGTGTTCCCCAAGGCTCAGTTCTGGGACCTGTACTCTAACTTCTGTATACTGCGCCACTTGCTAAAGTGATAAGATCTTATGGCTTGGATTATCATCTATACGCCGACGATACTCAGTTATACTTTGCATTCAAATCGGTGGATGTGGACGCTACTAAATCGAGGGTCGAGAACTGCATTTCTGCAATATGTCGCTGGATGGATCTCAACGAATTGAAGCTGAACCACGACAAGACGGAGGTCATGCTCATCCACTCAAAGTATCGTCCCTCTCCATCCTCTCAGTCCTTATGTGTTGGTGATGAGAGCGTGGCTGCCTCTCAGTCGGCTAGGAGTCTTCGTGTTATCTTTGATGAGCACATGTCTTTTCATGCACATGTGTCTAGCATCTGTAGATCATCATTTTATCATCTCAGGATCCTATCTACAATTAGGAAGTATTTCACTAAAGAATCAGCAGAAGTTGCTGTTCATGCATTTGTCACATCCAAACTAGATTACTGTAATGCATTACTATACGGCCTACCTAAGTATCAGTTACAAAGATTGCAGTATGTACAAAACACGGCGGCTAGAGTTGTGTTGTAAGTTTCAGCATATCACACCTGTTTTGTGCGAGCAGCTGGTCACCCCATATCGTTTTCGTATGTTGGTTTTCACATGACGTCACTAAAATTCAAACTAAAAAACTATCGATCCTACCAAGATTTTACTTTCACGATACATTAGAGCAGCTGAAAACTAATTTTCATACAAATTTTCGCTTCAAAAGGGTTCTTGGTTTTGTGATATTTCTAAGCTTTTGCTTGACGCGGCATTTACATAACGGCCAAGAGAACTGTCATGTAGGTTAAAAAAATGAGTTATTTCAGGAAATTTTGCTATCTAAACAGTTCATGCATTAGAAAAAGTATTACTTTAATGTTTATGAGTTTCTCGAAGAATAAATTCACGCTTTTGTAGCAAAACTCGGTAACAGATGTTTCTGTTGGTTTCCGTCCGCCATGTTGGAGCTCATCCAGGTGAGCACCAGCGTGGAGTCTCCATACAAATCTCTATAAGTTTGGGTAAAACATTTCTTCGGATATCTCGTACACGAAATATTCCTCTGACCTTAATCTTGGCGAGGGTCTTTGTATATGTACCTCCTTTCATTTCCCAGATTCTGGACTTTATCTATTGAACAGTTTTGATTTTTATTTTGATCTATTTTGAATGGCGTGACACTGAAAACCAGCATTATGTGCAATGTGGCGTGAGCAAGTAAGTGATATATCTCGTGATTGTAGTCGAACACGTATTCCGCAATAATGGACGCTCGTCGGTGTTGGGTAGATTATACGAGAACCAAATGCCATCTTTGTTCAAAGGCATTAAACAATCCGAGGACATTACCGTGTCTTCACTCATTCTGCCTAAACTGTCTTGAAAACTTAGTGTATATTGATGGAACACAGCTTCAAGGAGAAGTCGAATGCCCAACATGTATGTCGCCTTTCCAAGTCTCGGAAGAATTCATCGATGATTTACCCATTCCATTTCTCTCAGGTCGGTTTAAGGACACTTTGTTGAACGAAGTAATTCAAGGAAATATTAATTGCTCGAATTGCGAAGGAGGTATGGCTGCCATCTCCTTTTGTTATGTTTGTCGTCATTACTTCTGCTTTCGTTGTGATCAGGCTCATCATCGGCTGGAGTACACACGGGGTCATCATTATATCTTGCTTGAGAATGCCCATTCTTTGTTACGAAGATTAGCTATGTGCCCGGAAGAAAACCATGAAGAAGAACCGCTGAGTTTATACTGCAAGAAATGCCGCAAATGCATTTGCCAAGTTTGTGATAAAGAGAGCCATTGGCGACATGTTGTTGAAAATGTTCAGGATGCTGCCGAACGGAAAAGGCAAAAGATCAACGAAACCTTAGTGCAAATAGAACAAGAGATCGCTTCGTTGAATGACAAAATCAAGGAAAGCCAGGAAACATTTGAAACTAGGAAGGAAGAAATCAACGCTGCACGCAGAACTGTTCAAGCATACGTGAATGCAGCTATTCGTAGTTTAGAAAACCACAAGGAAGCTATGTTGACAGAATTAGATGATATCTATGCAAAGCTACAGCAAAGACATGCAGCCAAACAAGGTAAACTGGAGTTGTTGGTCCAGCAATTAAAAAGTCCGGTAAAATACGGAAAGGGCATTCTGAAAAGAAATTACGATGTGGAAATTTTGAAGGAACGAGAAGCTGTCATCAGTCGTTGCGTTTACCTTTTGAATTCTGGACAGGACTGGGATTCATTTCAGTTTCCTTGCGTGAAGTATATTGCTGATAAAAAAGCGTCATTTAAGAATGTTCGAGATTTGCGACCGGGGCGAGTGATCGTAAGTAACGCTGGCCCTATTGATGTTAGTGTACCACATGTGTACAAGCGAGCTTTTCAACTGGGATCCGATGGTTACTTAGATGAAAGTCATTCTTCTCCTCGTGGTGTTGCAGTCTATAAAACTAGTGGAAACATAGCAGTAGCTGATAGATTGAGAAGAAGAATTAGCCTCTTTAGTCCAGATGGAAAATATCTAAGACATTTTGGTGACTTACGAGATGGCTCCAAGAATCTGAGCTCGCCATACTCGGTTGCGTTCAGTTCGCTTGGTGAAATAATTGTCGTTGATTGTGTTAACTTAATGTTTTGTTCTAATCGTGGACTTTTTCTGAGCTATGTTGGAAACGTTGCTTTGCCAAAGTCAGTTTCTGTTTCAAAAGATGGGCAACTGATTGTCTGTGACAAAAAAGATGCCAAAGTTAAGGTTCTCTGCCCTTATACTAGAGAACTTTTGAAGTCCTTTCCAACTGATCCAGACTTTGAAAAATGCCAGCCCTCTTTTGCTATTCTTCATGGAGACAAATTCTTTGTTTCCTATCCAAAGAGGCATTGTGTCAAGGCTTTTAGTCATGATGGCGATTTCCTCTACGATATTGGAACTGAAGGATGTGAGCAAGAGCAGCTAGACAAACCTCAGGGACTTGCAATTGACAGGTTTAACAATCTTGTAGTTTGTGACAGTAACAAAAGCTGTCTGCAAGTGTACAAGCCAGACGGAAGGCACGTTGCCACAGTAGAGGGAGAGAATTCTAAGCTGATATCTCCTCAATTTGTTGCTGTCTCCAAGGATGGACAATTATTTGTTACTGATTCAGGATGGGAAAGTGGAAAACAGTCTTGCTTTCATATTTTCTACTGACTGTTGTTTACTAAAAGTAAAGTAGCTTAATTCCCAACGTGTGTGTCGCTTCAAAGAAATACTGTTTCCAAGGTTATAATTCCAACACTAACAGCTTTAAACGAACACATTTTTTTGGGAGAATATTTATTGTAACAAACCGGTTCCAGAAATGTGTGTTTTCTTTGTGTAGTCAGTAATTCATTACACTTCCCAACACCAGTGAAAATTATTATGGGCCCCTTGACTGTTTGCTACTGTTTACTCGTACAGTTTTAAAAAGTTCTCTGTAGGGCTATTTCACCAAAAATTTCCAGGCTAGTGGACTAAAAGCTAAAGTTGCTAGTCATAACACTAGTCTGTAGGAAAGACACGGTACTTTCCTTTACGCTCTAATTTCGGAAATGAACGTATACTCTTGTGCGGATATTTTTCTTCACTTTCTCTTGTGTATATTAATGATGAGGCTTGCATAATTATATCGTGAGCTTTTTCAGTTTGGTTACCAGCAGTCCTTGATCCCAGGAGGTGGGGTACTCAACAAAGTTTTATAAGGGGAGGGTTCAACCCCTTACCCTTTTTTATTATATAGATACGAGTGTTTTACGGGAAAATATACTACTCGTAAAATTCATAAAAACTACATCCGGGACCCGAGTGGTTTATTTTCCATAATTTCACACGTGAGTTTATCGATGACGTAATTTCGGTAATTTCCCTCCAAAATTTGTAGGCATCTTGCGTCCTTTGAATTTTAATTACACATTTTTCAAAGCTTTGCTTATATTTTGTCAATGTAGAGCCCTATTCAGCTCAGTGTTATTTCTCAAGATTATTGTAAACAATGTCTTATATTGCTGTACTGTAAGTTTGAGCCGTCACAATTACTTTTTGGCGAATAAAAATCTACTACTTTATCGGTGTCTTTTTGTCTATATAATAAAAAGAACATTACACGGCGGCTTGAAGATATGAATTTTATTTTCTCGTGGCAAAAACAATATTTTACTCGCTGCGCTCGTTCGAAAAGTATAGTTTTGCTACTCGAAAATAAAATTCATATCTTCGCGCCACCGTGTAATATCCTCTATATAATCATTGCTCCTGAAAAGCCCCTTTGGGAAGGTAACAATAAAGTATGTATGTATGTATGTATGTATGTAAGAAGTTTGCATTCCTTTTAACTGCTGTAAATGCACTGTCTCTTTAATAGAAGGATTTTATGGCTGTGAAAAACCGGGAAATGTTGTGGTTTTTTTTCTCAGCCATAAAATCCTTCTGTTAGCCCCTTCTGGACCAAAATAAAGTGAAATCCCTACCCTTGCATATTAAAAACCCTTTCATATACCTGCAGCTTTAAATAGGTACTCCCCGGCAGAGCCTCCCGTATAGGCCACTATAGGTAGTACCCTCTCCCCCCTGCCCACCGGTCCTTAATATGGACACCTTTCATTTTTTCTGTTACCTGCCTGGCAAAATAGAGCCGATTTTTCAGTGGTCAGCAATAGGTAATTAAAACGTTCAGCCAAAGTGTCACAGTTGCTATTCAATAAGAGAGTCTTAGATTTTGGCCAACACTGTTAGGACTTTGTTTCAAATAAAGTTAAGCCTTTTTATTGGCTCAGGTCAGAGTTGTGATGTATGATTGGCAAGTTCGGAGCTTCCGGGTTTTGGGAGCTTAAACTGGGCGGGGGACCAGTGGAGGTTATCAGAAAGAACGTATATAAATAGACTAGCACCTATCAGACACTTTTGGGCGACTTTCCAGTGATTGTCAAAAGGTACTCTGTCATTTTTGCTAGTAAAGTGGAGTCCTCTGGATGTTAAGTGTCCCTCATTTCTTACTCAGACGTAGCGTGCTTAGAAAAAACAAGTACCATTGCAAGTGGAAAATTGTAAGTGTTCGAAAATCCTGTAAGGAAATGTTACTTCTTGTTACGCTTTATTCACAACCAAGGCTTCGCTCTCTATTGTGCCTACAAGTTCGCATCTCCCACGACTTCGTCAAACTCAGCCCCGGATACTTCATGGTTTCTCACATGCAGAGTCCGCTGGTTTCCCACAACGCATCGCAAGACAGTGCGTCTTGCAAGACCTGTGAGACTTGTTCTGGAGCGATATGTGACCTTGAGTAGAACAATGATCACGCCAGTACTAATGAGCAGAAAATACCTGCAGGAGAACGAGTATAAGTCAAGACAAAATGTTAGTAATAGCCGCTAGAAGACAAGAAGAAGTTAGTCATTCAACTGCGAGGACCACATCCACTTTCATCTCTTCATCCATAGTTTACATATATGATTCACTTATAAGTCATATGTTTTTTGGGATTTTCACGTTACCATGCTCCCAACCAACAGCATATCCCCAACATCCCTTACGTAAACCATCGCTTACTGAATGCCTTTTGTTGTCGTCGATTCTCGGGACGCTGATCTACTTCCAGTTCAACAAAGTGTGTAGATCTGTTATATTACGCGCAATCATGCAGAGACGCTGTGAAAGCGCCTCAACCATTGGTTGACTAGAATAAACGACGATACTTATTAATATGATGTAGGCGGCAAACTAATGCAGTGCGCTTTAACGATTTCTCCTTTTAGCTCCTTTTGTTTAGAAGAATCACATATCATTCATATCCGCGAATTTCGCAGCACTTGAACGTTTAGAATCTCACATAACCAACAATCCCTTGACCAGGTCTGGCAAAAGACTTTCGCTAGAAACGTCAACTTCACAATCTTTCTACAGTGGCCAATTTCATCAACTCGGACGCGATACCGGTACCACAGCTTCTTTAGAAACCAACTTAAGCCCCGTACAAACTGACGCAACCTTGTTGGCCAACAACTCCCAACATAATAGGATGTTACATCGTCCGTTTGCACACCCTGTTGCCTGTTATTGCGAGTTGTTGCTCAACGTTTGAAACCGGTCAAATGTTTAGCTACGTGCAAACGGACGCAACAACATGCGCCAAATATGTCAGCCACTTAAACGCACGTACCAATGTCCCTTAATCCAGTCCCACAAGCTGTTCATAGCAGCTTTGGAGAATAGTGAGAATAATCTTTTAAAGGCGTCCCTGAGAATCCAAACGAGTCGCAACACCCAGTATGAAGCTTGCAAGTGCTTCCGGAACGCTTAAGAATTACCCTTCCCAGATAGTAGCTGGTTGACACTCAGACTCTCTGCAACAGTAAATCAACAATACACAATGGTATGTCTTCTTGTTATTAGAGGCTCTTCAGATGGACTCTCGTTTCCTTTTCTTTTTTTCTTCCTTGCTTGCCTAGGAACATTACAGGAACAATAAAAATATGGCAACCACCGCCCCTCAAAAGAATTTTTCCCCCAGCAAGCACTACTGCACCGCACTTTCGCGAGCGGATTTACTCCTATGTTCATGCTATCATTAGAGTACTTAGCGGGCTAAAAAGAGATGGCTTTGGCCGTAAATTTGCAAATTCTCTGTTTAACCCTATTCAGACCGCTCCCTCTCTAATAACTTGAATAACGTTTAATAAAACCGTTCAAGTTAGACCGCCAAACTTAGCGAAATTTATCTGGGAACATTTTAAAGTCATCGTGACGTGTACCTCAACATTGATGTTACCATGGCTACCGATTTTTTGCGGCCATTTGTGTTTTTTTGGAAACTTGCCTTTTTTTCAAAAAAAAAAAAAGGTTTTATTTCTATTTTTACTATTGTTTTTGCCCACACCGGACCAAACTGCCTTCCTAAATATCGATGTAGGATTCATGTTTGAAAATGGGTTTTGACTAGGGGTAGATCGGATAATAAAAGTCTACTATTTGGTTCTCAAAACGATAAATATAAAAACACGAAATAATTTCTTGGATGTTCTATAACAGTGTCGGAATTCCACCAACTTAATATAGACTCACAAGGCTGTTGTTACAACAGACGTGGCACATCTCATCTGGATCGTCATGACATTCGCATTCATTGGTCCCATACAGGGCACATATTGATCCAGTACAGGCACCATCCAAGCAAGTGTTGGGTCCGCTATTACATGTTACGTTACTGGGTTTCCATTCTTCAAGGCAACGCCCACTGCGGCCATTTTGAAGAGTTAAAGGAAAATTCATTAAACTTGGGGCGTGTTTATGGGCGTGTTCGACTGACGGTATTCCGAAATAAGAATAAATGAGATAAACTCGAGAAATAATTTGTTTTGGTGTCCTTTACATTCCAGTGTCTTGGAAACTGTTTGAAATAAACCATTCCGATGTATCTAGCGTCCAAATGGTCCAAAAATCATGGTACCAGAGATTTGCAACAAAACCTTTAGTCGCACTGCATGGGTGTTTTCCTCCCTTATGACCATCAACGAATGAAAGGATATTTACAACTCGTCTCCCCTGCGACGTGACTGAAGAGGAAAAAGTTCTGATAAAGAATCTTAACTGTGAAAAGAAATAACTGTCCTGCGTCTACAAATAGAAAGGGCTTGCAAACGATCATTTTTAATCTACATCGCGTGTCTGTGCGAGCAAAAATCGAAAGCTGGGCAACGAAACGCGCAAAATTCCTTTACCAACACAGGCTACCATATTCCTCAATTCCAACAAAAATATGTCCCATCGAGTAAGTACTCTTGCTCAGTTGGATAGATTTTCGATGTGCCCTGCGCACTGGAGACTCGAGGTTTAATGGCTAGTGTCCTATGTGCTAGTTTGTGCGGGAAGACGTTTCCCAGAGTTTCCATAGCAAGCGTTTAGGGCGGGCAGCTTATTTGCGTCAACTTTTGCATTTAGGCTGGCAAGGAAACGTTTGCTTCCCCGCCTTAACCTACGATCAGGTGTCCTTCCCTTGTTTTTTGTATGGTTCGTCGTCCGCCGACCTTTTTCCCTCCCCCCCAAAAAACGCTTGATAACCGGTTGTCCCTGCCTATTTTCCGAGTTAAGCCAACGCCCCAGGGTGTATATAACCTGCACTGCATTCCTGGCCTCACTGTACATCCTGGTGTTCCAAGCTTGTCATCTCTGGCCACACAGTACTTGTCCACTGCTTGACACTCCGTTGGTCTTCCACAATCACAATCTTCACCCTGCACCACGATCTTGTTGCCACAGTACGAACCATTGTTATGAGCTGGTAATACGATACAGGATTTTATATCAGCTGTTTTCTGGAGCGGATATTGAGAACTTGTGCAGAGAGGTAAGGGACGTTAACTACGTTCATTTCCAAAGAATTCGAGGTGCAATTGGCGTAATCGTATTGAACACTAAATGACTGGTCCCGAGGGAAACAAAATTAACTGTTTCCCTCGGGACCAGTCTTTAAGTGATTTGTTATATAGCTGGGAATTCATTAAACCTCGCTATAACGGCGGTACGTCATTGGTGAACATTCGCGGCCAACAGTGCACTGTTCGCCTCTGACGTCATAGATTTGCAATGTTGCCCGCTCAGAGATTTTGGCGGGAAACAGTTTCATTGTCGGATGTCTTGACGTTGTGACCTCGAAGTAACCAATGAGAGCACGCGCTGCTGGGAAACATTTCCAGCTATATAACAATAAAAATTATTGAATGAGGCTGAGCATGATCAGATCGAGGAGAATATTAGCAGAAATTCAGCTATTTCGTCTTCGGATAGCTGTGACCGGCATTTTTTTAGTTCGCTGTCTATCGACCAAGCATTCTCTTTTCCAGGTAAATATACCATCCATGAACCTCGTTTTTAAGCAAATACACCATCAAAACGATGGTATATTGCTCGCTTCTTCCTAATTTGGTCAACGCCTACTGGTTATAAAAAATTAGCCAGGAGATTTGAGCCAATCATAAATTCTGAATGACTAATAATAGAGTTTAATTACGTTCCTCTTCCCCCTCCTCTCGTTGTTTTGAGGCATTCAAATTAGTCAAAAGAAAATAAACTCTCATTTATGCGTAATTGATTGCTATGGTTGTTTTTCAGGTAGCACTGTACGCGCTAGAAGAAGGAGGAATGTCAGTGAGTAAAGTTGAACGGAAGCATTTCATGGCCGCTTTATTTACACCCAAACCGTCCCTGACAACAACTCAACTCAAACAATGTTAGATGGCACTTCGGTAATTACATCTCTTAATTTTGCGGATTAGGTACTCCCGTATAGAATTGACTTGGTTGATGTTGGAAAATATCTGATACAAAATTTATTTATTTCTTTATTCATTTACAAACTTCGGCAAGAGTCCTGGAACACTAACTAACACTCACAGAGCAAGCCATATTACGAGGTCCAGAAAATAACAAAAAATAAGAATATTGATAAAACTAATACTAACAATAATGACAGTGCACTTGTGGAAACAATAGAAACAGAAATAACAAACAGAATAGGGGCAAACATCAACAACAAGTTCGATGGAGCAGCTGGTCAGTGGCCGAGTAGTGTGGCAATTGATACACACACTCTTATAGGTCTGGGAAGGGGGGTTGACATCATAAACAGACTTAGTGAGATACAAGGAGTAATTAAAAAGTTGTTTCTTGAAATGGCAAACTGAACAGTCAATGCTCCGGAGGTGGCATGGTAAAGTGTTCCAGGTTCTTGGGGCTCCGCAGTAAAAACTGTTCTGAAACGTGTTCTGAAAGTGTTCTGTATTAACCCATTCGCTCCTGGAGATTTTGCCCAAAAACGCGTTTTGAAGCTAGTCGAGTGGTTTTCTGGTCACTGTCGTGCTATAAAGAGCTAAAACTTACCACAAACCGGTTTACAGGTTGTACACTTGGCGGCCTTTTGATCCAGATGCAAAATATCAGCTTGCGAAGGTTGGGCATGCGCAGAAAGCAAAATTTCGACAGTTTTTGGGTTTAAAAGTGACACAGCAGTATTGACTTTTACTTTTCGCTTTCTCTCCTCCCTTCTTTTTTCGCTTTTCTTGCCTCATTTTTTTTTTCTCTTGCTGGGTATTTAGTAGGCTTCATTTTGGCGGGAAGAGTTTTTAGGAAAGCTTTTAGGATCTTAGGATTAGGTGAAAGGAAAGGTAGGTGGGTAATGGAACAAGATTTTCATGGAGATTTTCAGGTCCTTGTCACGTGGTTTTTTGCTTCTTTCTCCGGTGTCCTTGACTGAATTGTGCTCATACTGGTATGGTTTGAAAGATCTCTTCACTCTGCACAAGTTAGCGAAGAAAGTTGTCCTTGACCGTTAAAACTGATGACGTCACAAAGGGTAGAAAGGACCTGGATCCACACGGGCGGTTACGGGTGGTTCAGGGGCGAATGGTTTAAACGTGAAATAAACAAAATTATGATTATTATGACAGGCCTCATTTTGTGGGCGTGGTTTGAATTTTGTATAGTTCATGTCCTGTTTTTTCCTTATAGATACCGCGATCATTCTAAAGGAGGTCATTTTAGATTTAAGCTCCGTGCAAAGCGATGTGATCGCTCATGTAACCAATTGCTGACGTAAGAGCTTGTCCTGATTTGTTCAGTCGGGGCAACGAAAAAAGGTCGAAACTAAACGCTTTGCAGCCTGAGAAAACAGCCTACACTTCACGACCCCACCACTGGTTTTTTCCCCGCGAATTGACGTCTCAGAAGCGAGCGCAGAAATTCCATACTGATGACGGGCCACTACCCAGATCTTTCTGCTTCTGTCATTTCGCTAGGAAACCAGTGTTGGCATCACGAAATATCGGCTGTTTTCCAAGGCTAAACGCACATTCGATCTATTGATATTGGTGAGCTAGTAAGTATGAACAGATCTAATCTCACACAGGTGTTACGAAAACTAAGACCTAAGACCTATGACCCGTCTTAGTTTTCGAGATTACGAAAACTAAGACCCCCTAAAATCGAATCCGTCGAAATATAAAGTCACATTGTAACCGAAATAGGTCTGATTTGTCAAATTATATCATGCTCGATCCTTTCCACCGAGTTTTAGGTCAAATTTAACGGTGAATTTAGGGGTCTTAGTTTTCGTAATTTCGAAAACCAAGACCCCTCTTGGTTTTCGTAATTACGAAAACTAAGACCCCCACCAAAACAATCTCTAAAATTTCTACAAAGTCGAATTAAATCCGTAAGACAAACAAAAACTACAATCATACGCGTGCTGATCTACGTACGATCCGCTAACAATTTGAAGAATCGCTTTAAAAACAGGACCAAAACTAAGAGGGCTCTTAGTGTTGGAAATTACGAAAACTAAGACCCCTAAATTTACCGTTAAATTTGACCTAAAACTCGGTGGAAAGGATCGAACATGATATAATTTGACAGATCAGACCTATTTCGGTTACAATTTGACTTTATATTTCGACGGATTCGATTTTAGGGGGTCTTAGTGTTCGTAATCGCGAAAACTAAGACGGGTCTTGGGTCTTAGGTCTTAGTTTTCGAGGGTCTTAGTTTTCGTAACACCCATTCTCACACACTTTGTTGAAACAAGCACCTCTTATGAATTTTGTACGAGTCGATATCTTTGTTTATGGTTTTTTTCATCAGATACAATTAACGAAAAATGATCTGATGGTTGAAATCATCAACTGTATTAGCTACTAGAAAGGATGATTTGGTGAACCCATATCGTTTTCTGTTTATACAATGTGGCGTCAGCAGACAAGTGATACATCTCGTGATTGGTAGGCGATGAGAGCGGCTTAGGTAGTCGAACACGTATTCTGCAATAATGGATGTTCGTCAGTGTTGGGTAGATTATACGAGAACCAAATGCCATCTTTGTTTAAAGGCTCTAAACAATCCGAGGACGTTACCGTGTCTTCACTCATTCTGCCTAAACTGTCTTGAAAACTTAGTGCATGTTGATGGAACACAGCTTCAAGGAGAAGTCGAATGCCCAACATGTATGTCGCCTTTCCAAGTCTCGGAAGAATTCATCGATGATTTACCCATTCCATTTCTCTCAGGTCGATTTAAGGACACTTTATTGAACGAAGTAATTCAAGGAAATATTATTTGCTCGAATTGCGAAGGAGGTATGGCTGCAATCTCCTTTTGTTATGTTTGCCGTCATTACTTCTGCTTTCGTTGTGATCAGGCTCATCATCGACTGGAGTACACGCGGGGTCATCGTAATATCTTGCTTGAGAATGTGCATTCTTTGTTACGAAGATTAGCTATGTGCCGAGAAGAAAACCATGAAGAAGAACCGCTGAGTTTATACTGCCAGGAATGCCGTAAATGCGTCTGCCAAGTTTGTTATGAAGAGAGCCACTGGCAACATGTTGTTGAAAATGTTCAGGATGCTACCGAACCAAAAAAGCAACAGATCAACGAAACCTTGGTGCAGTTAGAACGAGAGATCGCTGCGTTGAATGAAAAAATCAAGGAAAGCCAGGAAACATTTGAAACTAGGAAGGAAGAAATCAACGCTGCACGTAGAATTGTAGAAGCATACGTGAATGAAGCTATTCGTAGTTTAGAAAAACACAAGGAAGCTATGTTAACAGAATTAGATGATATCTATGCAAAGCTACAGCAAAGACATGCAGCCAAACAAGGTCAACTGGGGTTGTTGGTCCAGCAATTAAAAAATCCGGTAAAATACGGAAAGGGCATTCTGAAAAGGAATTACGATGTGGAAATTTTGAAGGAACGAGAAGCTGTCATCAATCGTTGCGTTTACCTTTTGATTTCAAGACAGGACTGGGATTCATTTCAGTTTCCTTGTGTGAAGTATATTGTTGATAAAAAAACGTCATTCGAGAATGTTCGTGATTTGCGACTGGGGCAAGTGATCGTAAGTAACGCTGGTCCTATTGAGAGTCCCTCGAATGTACATGTCAGTTCATTACCGGTGTACCAGCGAGCTCTTCAGCTGGAATCCGATGCTTACTTAGATGAAAGTTCCTCCTCTAGTGGCATTGCAGTATGTGAAACTAGTGCAAACATAGCCGTAGCTGATCGTTCTTTGGATGTGCAAGTGACAGCTCCGCATCAATACGAGAGAGTTGGTCAACTGGGATCTGATGGTTTTGGGCATGGAACCTATTGGTCTCCTTGTGGCATTGCAATTTGTAAAACAAGTGGAAACATAGCAGTAGCCGATGACATCAGGAGAAGACTCACTATTTTTAGCTCTGAGAGCAAGTATCTGAGACATTTTGGCGACGTGCGCGATCACTCTAAGAATCTTATGTCGCCAAAGTCGGTCGCATTCCGTTCGTCTGGTGAAATAGTTGTCGTAGATTCTTGTAAGATGATACTCTGTTCCAACAGAGGCGTGTTTTTGAACTATGTCTTGGGTGTTGCTTTGCCAGAATCAGTTTCTACGTCAAGCAATGGCCAAATGATCGTCTGCGACCAAAGGGAAGCTACTGTTAAAGTCCTCCATGCAGAAGGAGGACTTGTTAAGTCATTTTCAAGTGATCGAACCTTAGATGGTCAACCATCTTTTGCCATTAAGGACGGAGACAAGATCTTTGTGTCGTATCCAAAGGCACATTGCGTGAAGGTTTTCAGTGATAATGGGGCGTTCCTCTACGATATTGGAACCAAAGGATGTGAACGTGAAATGCTGGACAAACCTCAGGGACTTGCAATTGACAGGTTTAACAATCTTGTGGTTTGTGACAGTAACAAAAGCCGTCTGCAAGTGTACAAACCAGATGGAAGGCACGTTGCCACGGTAGAGGGAGAGAACTCTAAGCTGGTATCTCCTCAATTTGTTGCTGTCTCCAAGGATGGACACTTGTTTGTTACCGATTCAGGATGGAAAAGTGGACAACCGTTTAACCTTGACGCCAAACGGACTTGTATTCATATTTTCTATTGAACAGTGTATGAACTTAAAGTAGTGTAACTCTGAAGATCGGAGACCCATACAAGGAGGTGCTGTTTATAATTCCCAGGTTATGGTTCCAAAACTAGTAGTTTAAATGTTCGAAAAGGTTTTGGAGAATATGTATTTTAACGAGCCAGTTTCAGAAGGGTGTTTTCTGTTTTTTCTTTTTTTCTTTTGTGTGGTCAGTAATTCATTACACTTCCTAACACCTTTGAAAATTATGATGGGCCGCTTGACTGTTTGCTACTGTTTACTCGTACAGTTAACTACTCCGCGGGGTTATTTCGCTGAACATTTTCCAGGCCAGTGGACTAAAAGTACGATACTCTTGTGCGTGCCTTTTTCTCTACTTTCTCTTGCATGTAGTTATATTGATACATACATAACTATATAGTGTGTTTTTTTTAGTTTGGTTACCAGCAGTCCTTGATGGGCGGAGGGGGGGGGGGGGGGTAATTAAAAAAGCTTTTATATGGGGAGGGTTCAACCGCTTACCCTTTTCTTTTGTATACCATTTTTGACAGAAAAGGTACCCCTTTCGTATCCCTAGTTAAGACGTTTGCATCCCTTTTATCTGCTGTAAATGCACTGTCTTTTAAATATGAATAAATCACAACAGGGAATTTTTTTTTGGATTTTTCACAGCCATTAAATCCTTCTGTCAGTCTTTTAGACCGAAATCACAGATTTCCCTACCCTTTCATATACTTGAAGCCTGAAAAAGACTGGTACCCCTTTCGGGCAGAGCCTCACATCACAGGCCATTATAGGGAGTACTTCCCCCGGTCCTTGATATGGTCATCTTTCATTTTCTGTTACCTGCCTGGCAAAATAGAGCCAATTTTTCAGTGGACAGCAATAGGTAATCAAAACGTTCAGCCAAAGTGTCACAGTTGCTATTCAATAAAAGAGTCTTTAATTAGATTTCGGCTAACACTGTTATCACCTCTTTTAAATAAAGTTTAAAATTCTGTTTGTTGGTTCAGGTCAGAGTCGTAATATATGATTCCCAAGTTCTGAGTGGTAGGAGCTTGAACTGGGCGGGGGACTGGCGGAGGCTATCGGAAAGAACGTATAAAATAGACTAGCACCTATCAAACACTTTTGGGCAAATTTCAAGTGATTGTCAAAGGTAGGTACTCTGTCATTTTTCCTGGTAAAGTTGAGTTCTCTGGATGTTAAGTGTCCCTCATTTATTACTCAGACGTAGCGTGCTTAGAAAAACAAGTACCACTCCAAGAGGAAAATTGTTATTAGTTATTCCCAACCAAGGCTTTGCCGTCTTGTGTGCTTACAAGTTTATATCTCCCACGACTTCGTCAAAGTCTGCCGCAGATACTTCATGGCTTCTTACGTGCACAGCCTGCTGGTTTCCAACAAGGCATCGCAAGACAGTGCGTCTTGCAAGACCTGTGAGACTTGTTCTGGAGCGATATGTGACCTTGAATAGAGCAATGATCAGGCAAATGCCGCCGATACTAATGAGGAGAAGGAACCTACAGGGGAAAAATTATAAGACAAGAAGAAAAGTTAGTCGTTCAGTTACGCGGATCACATCCACTGTCATCTATTCATGTTCAGTTCACGTATATGATTTACTTCGTATATTCAAAGTCAGTTAATTTATTACTGTTTTTCACGTTACCATGCTCCCACCAATATCATATCTCCAACATCCGGTATGTAAACCATGCTCGACCCGCTCTCAAGTAGTCTGCCCCAGGTTCTCAGATAGTGTGAGGTTCACCGGAACAAAACAAGTGAGAATAAGACGCGCATGATCTGGGGAAGCCCTCTCTCTCTCACCCAGTGCGTTTTTCACGATCTATGTACATTTCTATCTTGAAGCCTGTCAGGCTAGCTCTGACGAAGGGGCAAGCGCTTGATAAGTCTGCTTCTTAACCTCACTACAACAGCCAATTTACTTCATCAGCTCAGTTGATAAAACCTTTTTTGTTTCACTTTCCCAACCGAGGCAACACCACGGCTAATTTAGGAACTGTCCCCCTTATTCGTCCGGCCAACTCAAAACATTGAAAAACGTACCAGTGTCCCTTAATCCAGGTCCACAAGCTTTTTATAGCAGCTTTGGAGAATAATCTTTTAAAGGCGTCCCTGAGATTGTTCAGTAAGTCATCACTATCCACTGTGATGCAGAATCCAAACGAGTCGCAATACCCAGTATGAAGCTTGCAAGTGCTGCCGGGACGCTTAAGAATCACCCTTCCCAGATAGTAGCTGGCTGACACACAGACTCCCTGCAACAGCAAATCAACAATGCACATGGTCATGTCTTCTTGTTATATTAAGAGGCTCTCGTTTTCTTTTCTTTTTTCTTCCTTGCTTGCCTGGGAACATTACAGTAACGAAAATATGCCAACCACCGCCCATCAAAGAATTTTTCCCTCAGCAAGCACTAGTGCACCGCACTTACGCGAGCGGATTTACTCCTATGTTCATGCTATCATTAGCGTACTTGAGCGAGCTAAAAAGAGATGGCTTTGGCCGTAAATTTGTAAATCCTCTGTTTAACCCTATTCAGACCGGCCCCCGGCTCTAATAGTAAATTGAATAACGTTTAATAAAACCGTTCAAGCTAGACCGCCAAACTTGGCGAAATTTATCTGGGAACATTGACGTGTACCTCAACATTGATGTTACTATGGCTACTGATTTTTGGCAGCCACTTTTTTGAAAACTTGCATTTTTATAAAAAAGGTTCCCCACACCGGACCAAACTACTTTCTTAAATATCGATGTAAGATTCATGTTTGAAAATGGGTTTTGACAAGGGGTAGATCGGATAATAAAAATCTACTATTTGGTTCTTAAAACGATAAATATAAAAACACGAAATAATTTTTTGGACGTTCTAAAACAGCGCCGCACAGAGTTACCAACACTTTAAGGAAACCTATATTTCTTGGCTTCTGTCCTCAGATTTCCACCAACATATTTCGCTAAAAGCTCTTCTTGTTCGGCTAAACTACACTTTCAGCTGTTTACACGTTCACAGCAAAACTGTCTTCGGAAAAGTAATTCCCTTACAATGTACTTAACACATCTGAAGATAAGAAAATATTTAATTCCACCAACTTAAGATAGACTCACAAGGCTGCTGTTACAACAGACGTGGCACATCTCATCTGGATCGTCATGACATTCGCATTCATTGGTCCCATACAGGGCACATATTGATCCAGTACAGGCACCATCCAAGCAAGTGTTGGATCCGCTATTACATGTTACGTTACTGGGTTTCCATTCTTCGGGGCAACGCCCACTGCGGCCATTTTGAAGAGTTAAAGGAAAAGTTCATTAAAGCTAGGGCGTGTTGGCCAACGTGTAGCCGCACCCTCCCCCTCTCCGTTTTTCCTTTGTCGAGGGATGGTGCGGCTACACGTAGGCTAAGGGCGTGTTCGACTGACGGTTTTCCGTAATATAGACTCTAGAAAATTATTTGTGTTGCTATTCTTTGCATTCCTTGGAATCTGCTTGAAATAAAATACTCCGCTGTATCTAGCGTTCAAATGGTCCAAGAATCATGGTACCAGAGATTTGCAACAACAATTTTGCGTATACTTATTCCGAGGTACGATCAATCGAACGCATACTTAAGATTGCTGATTCCGTGGGCAACGCAAGCCAAATCATGACTAGGTTGTGACACACAGTTATGTAACCACCCGTACACGGTGGTTTCTCGGTCGAACCTTACACACGCATGCTTTGTAGCGCTCAGCGGTAAAACCACTGGTCGCGGGCGGCTGTAGACTAGTGATAAAAATGATTGACTAAGTGTAATCACCAATGGGTAAGAACTTGAATATATTTCCTGTTTGCGCATCTGCGCATCGTTTTTCATGCAACCCCGATCTGAACTTGTTCGGACTCTTGCCTAGACTTGTGTTTCTTATCTTATATTAATATTTCATTATCCCGATACTCCATTTCCACCAACGTTAACCACGTTACCTTCTCGTTTGAAAATACTCTTCTGTGTACCCCTAAAGTTGCCACTCTAGACAATCTAAAACAAGTACGTTTTCCTAGGCTTCAACCCAAGGCTCAAAACAAAGCTGAATTTAAGCATGTTTGAACGATGGACTGTGACCAGGTGTGTTTCCTATACCACTGTCGCCCTTTGCCGCACTGAATGGGAGTTTTCCTCCCTTATGACCAAGAACCAATGAAAGGATATTTACACGTCGTCTCCACTCTGCAGTCTGTTTCTGTTTGACACACGCGCGCTTGGGATTCTGGGATGACTCTACAGTCTTCAGAGCAGCATGACCCTGCCACGTGACTGAAAAGGAAAAAGTAATGATAAAGAATCTTAACTGTGAAAAGGGATAGCTGTCTTTAGTCTACAAATAGAAAGGGCTTGCAAACTATCATTTTTAATCTACATCGCGCGTCTGCGCGAGCAAAAATCGAAAGTTGGGAAACGAAACGTGCATAACTCCTTTAACAACACAGGCTACCATATTCCTCAATTCCAACAAAAATATGTCCTACCGAGTAAGTACTCTAACTCAGTTGGATAGATTTTCGATGTGCCCTGCGCACTGGAGACTCGAAGTTTGATGGCTAGTGTCCTATGTGCTAGTTTGTGCGGGAAGACGTTTCCCAGAGCTTCCATAGCAAGCGTCTACGGCGAGCAGTTTATTTGGGTCAACTTTTGCAGTTAGGCTGGCAAGGAAACGTTTGCTTCCCCGCCTTAACCTACGATCAGGTGTCCTCCCCTTGTTCTTTGTAAAACTCGCCGTCCGCCGACTTTCTCCCTCCCCCAAAAAAGGCGCTTGATAGCAGGTTGTCCCCGCCTATTTTGCGCGTTACGCCAACGCCCTAGGGTGTACATAACCTGCACTGCATTCCTGGCCTCACTGCACATCCTGGTGTTCCACGCGTGTCATCTCTGGCCACACAGCACTTGTCCACTGCTTGACACTCCGTTGGTCTTCCACAATCACAATCTTCACCTTGCTCCACGATCTTGTTGCCACAGTACGAACCATTGTTATGAGCTGGTAATACAATACAGTTTTTTTTTTGTGAAACTTCAACTTTCACTATAAGCACATTCGTAACCTGTTCTACACGTTAAGAAAGTGGAAGAACGAAGCAGTAAAGAACGTGTGGAGAAAAGGCAATGGAAATCTCTCTTCCTCGTTCTCCCTCGCTTTAATTTTTCTCGCTCCGTTCGCGACTCAGAAAAGGCCAAACATTCCCGTCCCAAAGAGCCTTTTCCTTAAAAAGTGCGGGCGGGCACCCTGAGGACGAGTTTGAGTACCAAAAAGACTGGTCTTGTGGAAAGGGCTAGCACTCTCTGTACCCGTATTTTCACTATTTTCCACTAACTACGAAAAGAACTGAAACAGTTGTCGTTAAAAATGAATCGAAATGTCTGTTAATAGTCTTAAAAACTATGTGAGGAAAATTTTAGCTATAATCGAGACGCATGCATTGCTTGGCGTTGTGTTATGCTTTTTGGATACTTAGCAGGCTATAGCGGACAAATCAATGTTGGGCTTATGTATAGCTAGCCTCCCACGAAGGTATTTTTAGGGAAGTCGTAATCAGGGGAGGGAGGAAATACAACCTCCCTCAAAACGCTTCCTTTCTAGCAGAGGTCTTTTGTCCCTGGCATTCGCCCGCCGAATACCAGGGAAAAGAGGCCTTTGCTAACAGGGTATAAAAACGCCTACGTGGGATGCTAATGTATAACTCACCAATGAAACAATCAGCACCCTTTCTAGAAATGACAAGAGCTATCTGCCGCTTACTGCATGGAGAGAACAGAAGATTATTCGGTTCATGCCCATCGCTGGCACGGGAGTACATGATGAAATTACCAGCTTTTCCACCCGGTGAACATTGCGCGGAGTCCGGATCATGCTGGGAAGATCAGAAAAAAATCACAATAATAATAATTATAGTAATAATAACGATAATAATAATGATGATGATAAAAAAACAAACCATACACTACCTTTTACTAAGAGTGTTGACTAGAAAATTAGCTCTTCAAATGTATTATTTGCCCTTCGAGGTGTGCCGGCTAAGGCATTCAAACCCTGGCCAACATCGACAAACATCATTCATCGTTCATCGATCATTTCGCTACCCTAAACAAAAGACCTTATTGAATGACCCCGATTCATTTCATTTAGCATTTTGTTAATCTGCGATTTTTGCAAAAAAGAAAAACAATAACTTGCTGCGTACCACCCAAATGAAGACCACTCATTGCTAAACTTTACACTCTTTTAAAAGCCTTGGAAAGCTAAATTAAAAATTGTACACCCTGTTTAAGACTCAATGATACCCTGAAAACCATACCCGGCATTTACGCGTAGCGGCACATACCCGGCCAAATAAGGGAATGTCCCGGGGGGAGGGTCAAGAAAATCAATCCGCCGTCTTTGCTTATCATTCATGATCATCATCGTACGTTGTTGCGCATGCCATATACCTCTGATCCAAAGCTGTGTCCAAGCTCATGAACAACAGTGATCACTGACGCTTTCCTTGGGATCCTGACGCCAAAATTTTGAAAGCTCGCAATTGCTGTGTTGAAATTAAATGTCTCCTCGCCTAGATCATCTACAGGAAGCCTCTTTGAGCATATTCCGCCAGGTGTGTCTACCTCAGGGTCTGCTACCCAGGCAAGTCCTAAGGCCCCGTCTTCAAAGTCTCTGTATGTGAACAGTAGGGCCAGACAGTATGAGTCGTGATCGATCTCGCTCCATTTCTCGAGAAAAGGCATAATTTTGATGCTTTCTGGGCTTGCTAAAGAGCCTGAGTTGTAAAAAAACAAGACGTCAGGGAGTACTGTTCTGTAATTGTGCAGAATTTTATCACTACAATTCAATTTTGCTTTCAGTCTCTGGAAAGACTGAGCCTGGATGAGTTGTTAAGAACTCGTATGCGATTGGTTAAGCTTGCATTAGCCATAGTTTTTTACAATTGGTTAATTTTTATCTGAGATGTATCTGCTCATCCAGGCTCATTATTTACATCAGCAGTCACTGATCATTTAACAATTGTTGAATGAGGGGTGAGGCTGAGTAGGATGTGAAGAATTCTGCAGATCGAGGAGGATCTGCAGAACGACAGCCGTACGACAGCCGAATTCATGAATTGTTTTATTATTAATTCAAAATATTTCTCAGTTCTTAACATGCTTACCTGTAAGCAGACGTTTTTCAAAACTTTGGCTTATTTCTCGTCACTGTTTCAGGATATAAACAGTTGTTGTTTTTCTTTTTTTGCAGATACTCCTAAGAGTCTATAAAATCCATCGAGCAATCCGTTTTGCGCATTCTTACATTTTTTTCCATTCAATTTAAGTAAAAAATTCAGCTATTTCGTCTACGAATAGCTGCGAACGCCATTTGTTTTAATTCACTTTGCTCAAGCAACCTCGTTACGTTTCCAATCAAATATACCCTCGATCAGCCTCGTTTCCAATCAAATATACCCATCGAATCGATGGTAGAAACATGCACCCCCTCCACCCCCATCCCACTCTCCTGGTTCAGCTAATGGCTTTCGCCTTTGACATCCTTATCAGCCTTGATCTTGATCAACCTACCTTCGGAGGTCTCGTTGTGGAAAACCGTTACAGCTGCTATGACAAAACCAATACCATCTCCAGATCCCCCATCCTGGTTAAAGTCAGTTGCTCTAAAGGATCTATCAGCCATCCCCATGTGATACACCATCTCTGTTACCGTAGCTCGCTCAGAAGATAAACCCACATGTTTAAAGAACAAATGATCTGCGGCAATATGCACAGCACATGTGTTGAGGCTGGAAGAAGTGGATCTTCTCCTACGGATTTGTTTGCTGGCTGCCTGTGGGAATTATGAGGCGAGATGAAGAAAGAGAGAAATAATAAAAAGTCAGAGTTTCCATAAAGCTATGTAGGGGAGTAGCTACGATTTTTCCAGAACGCTGGAACAGTTAAAGAGCTTAAGCAACGACAAGGACGAAGACGGCAGTGACCTGCTAAATTTGTCAAATGTGGGCGTTTTTTCCTTGAGTTGAATTCTTAAAGAACGTGGCTAAGTTTAAAACAAGACAGAAGAATTCGTGGTCGTGAGTTCACGTCTCCCATAGAACGTCTCATTAGGAGGTTTCGCTTCGTAGTCGTGCAGTGGACGTTACAGAAATACACTAAAAAGCGTGACGACCTGTTGTTTTGTTCATAAAACCTTTTTTTTTTCACGTAGTCGTTGTCGTCGTCGTGGTTGTTTAGGTCGCGTTTATATATTACAGACCTTGGCAAGCTGTTCCCATGAGTTTTAAAAAGTGTGACCTGACTAGCCGGGTCACCCTTTCCCGATGGTACGAAGAGTCATCCTTCTAGCAGGGCTAACATTTCTCCATATAAACACTTTGCCTCTCCCAACGGAGTCAACTCGGTCAAGGCGAGTGAAAAAGGGCATGCGTGAGTGCTGTTTTAGGCAATCAGGGCATATGTGTGCTATTGGCTCTGTCAACTTTTTTCACATTTATTGTAAACGCTCGCTGAAGTTGATTCGGCTGGGTGGGTCTTCTACGTAGGACAACTTTTCTCAATATTAACGGGGTCTTAAGTTCCCTATTGCTTTCTGACTGTTCTTTATTGGTGAGCTTTAGATTCTAAGACGAGGACGACTACGAGAAGACTACGAGAACGAGATTTTCCCAATACTAAGTAGTGCGCGAGCGCGAACCAACGTCATTTTGGCGGGAAAATGCGGGAGGCGTCGTCGGTCTACTACGAGTTTTATCAAACCAGAATGTCGAAATGGCAAAAAGAAGTTATCAAATGTTATTGTTATTGTTCAAAGGAAATAAGCATGCTAACTTTTGTGGTAAGAAAAAGTACAATGAGGCTTTTTCTTTGGGGGGGGAGGGTCTATTTTTAAAGAATGAGCGAGAAACATGAAATTAAATGTCGTCCTTTTCCTTTAAAGCTATCTATTGTCTCCAACATGTTGAACACATGAGTTAATAGAACTTGACAGTATTATAAAAATTCAATAACTTGCAGCTACTGTAGCTTCCTTTGTTTAAGGATTTTTTTGCCGCTACTAATGCGAAAACGTTTTTGCTGTTATTTACCTTAACTGCGACATGATGATATAAATCAGCAAAGCGAGCCATTTTCCTTTGAATTCTTGAGAATTCAAAGTTAACGCTTGAAGAGGAGAAGACGATGGAATGGAAAGACGCGCTTAAACCAATGCCATATCGTTGAACAGGCTCAAGATGAAAAGTTTCTCCAAATACAACAAAACTTCCATCGAACTGTCCGTTTATTATATGCCCCATTACAAAAGATTCTGGATCACCTACGTAACAAAAACCCAAAGAAAACAAAAACATTTGGTTGAGCATAAATGGAATGTCAAAGGCAATTTTGAAATCACTGCTTTATGCATAGCCTGAGAAAGCAGCCGGTATTTTTGTGGCTCCACTACTGATTTTCCCGTAAAATTGCGTTTGAGGAATGACTGTAGAAATTCCATATTGATGACGTGGCACTGCCCAGATCTGGGTAGGGCTTCTGATTAACTGAAAATGTGCTTTACCAATCAGAGGCACTATACCCATTTCTTGGTAGTAACACGTCTGACACCAGTATGGCATTTCTGCAGTCGTTTCTCAGACGTCACTTTGTGAGGAAACGAATGGTGGCGTCGCATAATGTCGGCTATTTTCTCAGGCTAATCTATACAAAGCCAACGTTATTTCCCACCTGCAAGGTGTGGCATGAGTGACAAAAAGGTTTCCAAGTAAGGCAGCAGTTAAAGGTAGCGAACTTACGTGGCAAAACGTATAGCAAGTTCCAAATGGATGAAAACATGTCAATAGTACGAAGGGAGAAGGAAAAAAACATGTAACCAAGCCCCGCGCGCATAACCAGTAAAGCCGCGAGTGGCAGTCTTTTTTTTCCTTGCCCTTATTCTTACGTCTTCTTTTGCGTGTCACTCGCGTGTGCCTTCTAGGAGCTTGCTCGCGTGCCAAACTAGTGCTATGTGAGCTACAATAGTGATTAGGGAGTTTAAGCAACGACATTTTTGAGCGACGTACGTCAACCGGAAGTGAGTTAACCTGAGATCAGGCCCAATTTGAGCGGTTCTCGTACATTCTTTATAACGGCTACCGCTAAAATCAGAGCTCTCTTTTCGTTTCGCCATGCCCGCCAGAATGTTATTTACAAAGCGAAACGAAAATAGAGCCTGATCTCAGGTCAGAAGTGAGTCTTTTTGAGCGACGTACGTCAACCGGAAATGAGTCTTTTTGAGCGACGTGCGTCATCCGGAAGTGAGTCTTTTCTCCTTTTAAGTATGTCTTGGTGCTACCAAATTTGTATTTCTAAGTGTCTTAGTATCCTGACAGAGATTATCTGCGCGAGATCTGCACGAGAATTTTTTAAATTCACTGCCCAAGATCGCAAAAAGTCCACTTCCGGTGAATCTGGCGCTTAAGGGAGTGCTCAGCAGTAAAGGGTCTTTGACACGCGGGTTTCCCCGCTCATTGACCTGACAGCTATGCGACGCTGATGAGCCCCAATAAGGGCAAAACAGCTGTCTATGGCTGCCACTGTCGGGGTGATATGGTTAGGCGCATGCGTAAGGTACTGGTCATACCACAGAGTTTGTATGTATGCTCAGTGCATAATTAATTTGATATCACTTGCGGCTCACGTGCGTTGCTCAAAGTCGAAGTTGTTTAAACTGTCTATTTACCTTCCACAGTTCCCTTGTATGCCGTCCTTGTATCATACTTGTTATACTCATCAACATCGTTCTCTGAGATTCGAAATTCTGTGTCCTCAGAGAACAAGCTCTTATGGTTCTCAAGTAGAAGGCAGAAATACCTTGAAATGAAAGCCGCAAGAAAGTAGCAACAATGATTTTCTTCAGTCGGTGTCAAATTTGTCAACCGTAAAGGTAGCTTGCTGAAATCGCCATCTTATATCAAGGGCAATAAACTTCAGCAGTGATTGGACTCCAGTTTGTTCTGTGGCACACAAACGCGCAACTGAACGATACATTTTGAAATCACATCTTACATATGACAGCAAATGTGATGAGAAAACATGGTTGTTGTTTAAACCTTGTATTTATTGAAATAACAAGAAACTTTTAAACTCAGCCTCGTCCGGCAAGGACAATCCAATCAAATCATCAAGGTAAGATTGTTTTAAACCATGAACTATTTTGAACACAAGGTGTTCATTAAAAGTGATTCTCTAGCTAACTTCAGTTTTCAGATCGGGATCACATGACTGAAAGGAAAAAACTTACCATTAATTTTTGTTATGACGCTATTTCCATGCGTATGATCTATATTTTTAAGTAATTTTCGATGTATATGTTGTGGCAGGAGCCCAGGCTTATCCTTCGTTTAAATTTTATTTCCCTCTGTTTTAGACTCATTATCATACTTAACCATACCCCAAAACAAAGAAAAATTACATCTAAATCATGGATAAAATTGAACCAAAACATATACTCTAGCTCCTCCGAGTTTTCTTACACTATAATCGGCCTTTGTCAAAATCAGACTGGACAAGCTTGTATAGAAAAATTGAAATAAGTATAGTGTGCTAAAGGTAGCCCAAGCTCCAAACACAGCTGTCAACACAAGAAAACGCTTGCTTAAAAGGGTAATTCAATAAACATTACGCTCACTTATAGAGCACAGAATAGATTTTTATACAACTTGTTATAATCGTTTCTTTACGAATAATTAACTAGCTAAGTAGGGTAGTGTTGCACAGGGATTTGATAGCGAGGTTGGTGAACCTGTGGTGTGCTCTCCTCCTTCAGGTTATTAAAGTGTCACTTACCTTTGAAAGGCGGTAAATTTAACAGTGACGGAGTTATTCTTGAAATTCACCACATCTAGATGCTGTTTATGTATATTGGTAACATTATAGTTTACTGGCTCGTAATGTTTGATGTTTTGAAGAGCAATTCCTGCAATGATAAAAAACCAAAGTTTTACTGAAAGATAGGCAGACTAGGCATACGTCTTAGCTCACGCCATTAGAAAATCAACGATCGCGATACAGCTCAAATGCTAGTAACATTCATAAAAAGTCATTTCGATTCATATGCTTGGTATACCTTTGCTTTGGATGGAAAAGGTAAAGTATTCTTGAGATCTAACGAAAAAAAACTTTGATAAACTCTCTATCGAACATAAGCTAAGATTACGCTTATGTGAAATAATTCACTCACCACCTCTCTGTTTGTATTCTTTCTCCGTTGATATTGATTCTGATATTAAGTTAAATATAATAGAAAAGGTTATAGCTTGACTTATACAGTTTTTCAACAAATTCATTTGCTTGAATTCAGTTCTAAACGAAAAATACCGATCTTTTCTCTCTGTAAGTCGTCTAAGAAGTTGAGGAGGAGTGGTGAGGAGTCTGCGCAAACAAGTGGTTACAAAGCAATATGGTGGACGAATTTAGTGGTTACATTTGCAAATCTCAGCACTTTTGTGCATTGCCTTGGAACTCTTACATGGTGCTAAGGTACTGAATATGTCGTGAAGCGAAGTAGCAAGTTACGAGCTGTATGGCTAAAGACGTTTCAGTGGATGAAAAGCAATAGCAATTCAATCAACTTGACATAAGCTTAAGCTTAACTCAACTATGGAAGAGAAAACCGACTGGGCCAAGTTATCGAAAAAGGAGCTACAGGAAATGCTACGAAGGCAGGAAAAGTTATTGGCTAACAAGTAAGCTTTTCCAATTATTGTCTACAATCTACGTGTAGCTGGGAGTTCTTGAACATAAAGGTCGACGCGTTCGAATACAGACGTGTAATTTGTACTCCCATCCATCTTCATGTTACATGTTCACAAAAATATCTTTATTGCGCTTTGAAGATGCACGAAAGTGTCAAACATTATTTTAACCGGTACTTTATAACTACAGAATACAGGGCCGATTTCCTGGGTATACATTCGTTGGGGTGGCTCGGCGGCTTGGCAGTCACTGGACCTCGCTGACAGCCACCGAGCCACCAAGCCACTAAAACATTACATATACCTTTCACTCTAGATTCGAGATTGCTTCGAATCTCTCAATTAAAGAAACATTTTGTCTTCTTTTAGGGGAAAAATGGAAAACAGCTCATAGGTTATCTAAACAGGCACTTTCAATTTACAAGAAAAAAAATTGTTTTTAAATTTTTTCTTAAAATAAGAAATCTCAAATTTAGAGTGTTTCTTGTTTTTTACCCCTTTGAATGCCAAGGACGTATATATGCCTCCTAAAAGACATGTCCCCACTACTGAGGACATATATATACGTCCTCTCTGCACCATAGTTTTATTTCTTCTGGTTGCTCAGCATTTTTGTCCATGGTTGTTTGAAAGGGTCTGAGAAAGAATAATGTTAATCACTGACCAGAATGTTTTTTAAGGAAGTTATCGAAAGTTACATCACAAGTTGATGTTATGTTGTGAAGTATTGAAAGAAGCTGTCATGATAGTTGTGACTACCTTGCCAAGTCACTTACATTTACTTGTTTAAGGCAAGAATACAACAAAAGAGAAGTTATAAAGCATTAAAATTCTTAAATTGTGAAAAATACATTTTCTTCAAAAAATCCAATATGGCTGCTGGTCGCTGGATGTATACATCCTTGGCATTCAAAGGGTTAAGATGCCAACCTCGACTGATGAGCCACCTAGCTGCAGCTGAGCCACTAAATCATATACCTTTCTTGTTCTTTAAGATGCTAAAAAGAAGAAGGGTAACCTCGACTGGGGAGCCACCAAGCCGCCTTTTCTCATTCTTTAAGACTCTAACCTCAACTGATGAGCTATCGAGCCGATGAGCCACTTAAATACAGTCGAATCCCGCTTTATGGACACCTGCTCAATACAGACACTTCTCTATTACAGATAGTTTGCCTTGTCCCTTGGGAAATGAAGCCTTTACATTTTCTCTAAATTCAGTCCACTTAAGGTCTCAGTAAAGGAAAACGAGGTGCCCACAGAAAGGGTGTGAGGAAATTTCCGATTTCCCTTTGTAACTCATTTTATGTCAGTTTCTTTGGGTAAATCGCGCTCGAGATTCGACTTTTTAGTTTGAAATACAATAATTCCGCTAATACGAGACATATGCAAATTTCCTCACACCCTTTTTTAGGTCTTTTATCTGTCAATCAGATGCAATAAAAAGGAAGTGAATATTTAACAACACGAAAGGGCTGGAGCTTCAGCAGTAAACTCAATACCTCTGAGTTCGAGAGCAAAAAACTTAAGCGCCTTTTGAAATTTGATGAAATAAAATCTTTTATAAGGTAATTTAGTCTTTTAGCTTTAATTTGAAATATAACTTGCCTTTGTAGCGAAAATACTCGCGCGACTAGAATTTTTTTCTATGGGCACCTCGTTTTCCTTTACCGAGACCTTAATACATAATGTACAGACACCCTGTTAATACAGATACTTTCTATGGCCCCCCTCAGTGTCCAAATTAATGGTTTTAGCTGTGTATACCTTAACCTCTTTTTTTGAAATTGTTTATACTTATAGATGTCTTTCTTATGTCTGTCTTACACTTGTATGTCATATCTTTCTCCTTAACACTTGAACACTTGACTAGTGAGTGACTGAGCCACTTCTGCTGAAAATGTTCTGATATGGCCCTGTGTTCTGTAGTTGCTCCTAACTGTAATTCTTATTTTTCCATTTTCAAGAAAATTCTTACAAAGCCTTCCAGACCGAGGAAAAAAGGTTATAGAGACAGTGGCAAAACTGAAAGAGTTAATTGCTAGAAGGGAACAACTAGAAGACACTATGGCACAGTTTGAGAGGATGACAGTATCACGACTTGTTCAGAAAACACAACTTGAAATATTGGACAGTGATGACAGTGATGACGATATCTCAGATACAAGATATGATGGTGTTGTCAGCCCTTCTAAAGGCAACATTGATTCTTTAATAAGTAAAACAACAAGCGTAAACAAAGAAACTGATAGCAATCCCAAAACAACAACTCACATTAGCAAATCAGAAAGTAAACATTCAAATATGAACTCCACTGGAAAATGGGATTATGAATCATCAGCAACACCCCCACAGTACAAGTTACAGGTACGGCAAATCTATGTGAATTTGTTTTTTATAGGGTTCTCAATAAGAGCCAGTGGCCGCTGAAATTCGGTGGCTATTTCACGTGAACTCGCCACCTACTTTTCTTTGGAAATTATCCCCCCAAAAGCCAAAGGTTAATGATGTCTGTGTTCTGTGCAAATACTCTAATTTTTGCTCCAGAATGCTGGAAATGCAATCCAACAGGCCCAGATTTCAAAATTTTTCTAGTGGGCATGTGCATGCCCCTGGACCCCCTAGTAAAATAATTGCACTTTTGGTGCTCGCAAGTCACACCTGTGGCATGAATTTTGTCCTTCTCCGCCTTCTCCAAAGCTTTTGCCACCTTGACCTACTTAAAACCTCATGGAAAACCCTGTTTTTATAAAGATATTATGCTTTAAATGTGAGTGGAATATTCATACAATTGATTTTAACCTAGGTTAATACCTGTTTCACTAAATGATTCTGGGAAACTGCCAACTCTAAACCAACATAACACGTACTTCTCAGTTGGGGGGACTTTGATTTAGGGGAGGGGTGGGTGAGCTGTTTGCCAGAATGTTTTATACTGACCTGAAATACCATATTTCCTGTTATATGGCACCTGGATGCTTAATAAATATTTAGGAGGAGTGCTTATTGGAAGGAGGGCACTTAATCAAGTGGGGGGTACTTATTAAGTTATCCTCCTGTTGGTAATCAATATAGGAAAGGGAAAGGGGCACTTATTCAAGAGAGGTGCTTGTTTGATATTTTGGGCTTGGGTCAGTTGCTTATCAGCTAGAGGGAACTTATCAAAGCATGGGTGCTTATTTGAGGGTATACAGTACGCATAACAGTAAAGAAGAATAGTTTCATGATACAACTAAATTCTTTGCGAGTTCTACGTAATAAAATCATTTTATTGTGTTATTGAGGAGTTAGTCACCAATGACAGTACAGCTCGTATACAAGCATCCACATTAATGCACTTCAAACTAGTTGGCGAGAAGTTCGTTAACGTGAGTCCATTTACCTAACGTGCTTCAAAATTGGGGTTGCATCAGAACTGATTAGTATGTATGAGCTTGACTATTGTTCCTGGTTTATTGTTGTTGCAACAGCTGCAACAAAAGGCTTAACAATGTCTAAAGGACTCGGTGAATACTGTCACAGGGTTTCGATGCTATACAGTAATCGTTGCTTGACTTCACGATACGAAGTAGAAGGAAAGACAAACAAACAGATAAACTTACTTGAATACTGAGTTTTGAGTAATCTTCTAACTTCTCTCACGTCAGAAAAAACTTTCTACTCTGTAAAATAACAAACTACTCAGCTAACCATAGTTATTAGAGGAGACTGGTTATGAAAAGCAGCAAACGTCAATGATAAGAACAACAGTGCTGCAGTTTATGTTGAAAGTACTGTGAAAGTGCACAATCCTTTGTTTTCTGTTGGCAAATTGTTACGGAATAAATTAATGCAACGTTTTTATTGGTCAATACAATCAAAATGATAGGAATTCTTTTGAACGTTGTGCACTTTCAGGTCCACAAAAACATATAACAAAGGAGTCTGATGGGTTTCATAACCATTCCACTCAATTAACTATGAGCTAACGTAACTCACAGAAAGAACTGCTTAATATGAATTAATTGGAGATTGTTGGTGGGAGTTTTGTGTTCCCTGTTTAAACTCAGAATGTTGCTCTAAAATGTTTTACTATTGATGAGACAGTAATATCAACAGCACAATGTTTAATATTGACTTTTCTTCTCAGAAAGCAAAACCTCTTTCCTTGGATGAATCCTCCAAGCTTTTACAAGATCAAGAAAAGAAACATAAGGTGGGTTATATTATTTCTCAATTTTTTTTTCCATGGGTATATAGAGGGAAGGTGAAAGTCATTAATAATTGTATCCTATAAACTCAAGAGATAATGAGGAAAGTCAAGCAGTGAATATCTAGAATCTAGACACGGACATCCCTCCCCCAACACCACGCGAACAAAAAAGAGAGAATAGTTTTGTTGTATTGCCGAGGGACCAGAGAGGTGAGATTGGATGTCAGCGTGTTAAGACACGCTATGCATCCTCTTTGGCCCATCTTTGATCTCACCTCTCCTCTGGTCGGATTAGACCATGACACCAGGGCCTTTGTACAGTGGCGGATCGAGGGGAGGGGCACAGGGGGGCCAGGCCCCCCTTTATTTTTAGACCAAACTGAGGCCCAAAGGGCTGAAATAATTTTTTTTGAGACCGTCCCCCCCTTATCTCAGAGTCTGGATGACTGGGTTCCCCACTGATGTACCCCCACTCTTTCTGAACAATGTCACTAGTTCTTTTATGTCCCCTTCCAACTGGTTTGTAAGGGTGACGGATACAAGGCCAAGGGTTAACTTTACCACCCAATAATGCAATCATCTGAACTGAGAATAGGTTTTGACCACAGCTTGCATGATCTCACCAGGTTTTTTTAAGATCTTGGTTGGTGGTCCAGCTGAGGTTAAAACTCATGGCCACCCATTCAGTAGACCAGCACTCTCTTAACTGAGCTAACCACCAAAGAATCAACAGCAGGAAAAATCTGGGGAAACTGGGCTTCTTTGTCATGAATAGTAATAATATTATAATTTTTGATTGAGATTAATAACTATGGGTATAAAGCAGTCTGGGTGAAAGATGCATGAAAATACAGTTGGTTTAAGGTGCCTAGACTCATCACCTTGAAAGCCACCAGAAATCATCCTTCTCACCCAAAACACTCACCTTGTCACTCCTTCCACCAGCGCTCTTCCTTTTTTAAATTTAATTTCTCGCAAAGCAAGTTTATAGTTTTGTCACGCCCACAGCGCGTGGATTTTGCCAGGATTGCAAGTGGAGTGCTATGGTCATAAATCTTTCTATCAGTCTGATATCCGGAGTTGCCTAGCAACAATGTCGCAATTAAGCTCCAATTGACGTCATTCAGTCTAACTTCATGTCTAGGTGCAATGTTTATTGTTACTGAATGGTAACCAAATCATAGCTGTACAATGCCGACAGCAATAGATTTTGCAACGGTTTCATTGTTAGACACTTTGAAAATATCGCCTTGTCGGCCATATGTTCTTAAAATGCAACGTAATGAGTTGAAGTACGGCTTTTAACCGTCAAAACCCTGCTTATTTTCCTCGAATATACAAGTGTATTTTGAATTCTTGATAAATACAGCTCTACCAGCTTCAAATAGTGTCTATCGGCAGAATTTCATGGGCAAAAACGCTAAACATAATTAATTTAAGATTTACGTTTAACACTTGGTTTCGTTGCGCAATACGTTAATGGTCCGGGGTTCGACTTCCGTCGAAGGAAACGTTTTCTTCTTTTCTTTTCTTTTGGTCGTTTTGATTTTGTTTTCTTTCTTTTTTTGAACATATTTTACCTTTTGGCTGATTTCAGTTTATTCATATTGCTTCTCCTCATCACAGCTTCGCGAGGTGTTGCAATAAACTTATTTCTAGGAACGATTCACCTGTGTCAGGAAATAGGATAGATTCTTCATTATACAATGTGCTCTAGCTTCAAACTGAAATTTATTTGTCTAAAAAAACCTCCCCCCTCTGGCCTGGGCTATCCACCAGCACTGACTAAGACGACAGGTTCCCTCAAGACACTCTTGCTGAAGGCTACGGGGTTGACACAAATTCCATTTGCAGGAACTTCAAGCGCAGCATGCAACTCTCAAGTTAAAAGAGCAAGGTTTCCTTGGTGTTACAGACAGCCACAGACCTTTTCAAACTGTACAGAACCCTCTGCGGTATCCTTTTTTATTTTATGACTGGTTGAGTGAGTGGGCATGATGAAGTGAATGCTGCACTCTGATTGGCTATCGTAGAGGGCAAAACTGGCCTATCTTGTGCACCTGGGATTTCGGGTCGACCTGCACCGATTCCAGACTGGGGTTTGTGATTGGCTGGGAAAACAATAGGGATGGTGACATAACAATGCCCCTATCCCTGAAAACAATAGGTAGTGCAGGTTATAGGGACCAATGAAATGAGAGGTTTGGAAGGGTGCTGGTCAATAGGGGATTTCTGCTTTGTCTCTGAACAGATTTTGTTTGGGCTATATCATAAAGCCTAGTAACAAACTTGTGCCAAAACTTTGAAAATTTTGAGGTGTACTTTCAAGACAGTTAAAATAAAATGATAATCATTTCACAAGTATTGTGATGAGGTGCAAGGTTTGTAAAGGACACAGAACTTTGTGGTGAAGTTTGAGCTGTTATATTTACATTCCGTCTTTGTTTGATTGTCATGAAGACGTTAGTCCTTGAGCCTCAGTGAGGAAACGGATACAGCCAGTATAATTAATCATCAAAAAATTAGTATACTGTCTGAGATTAACACTGATTTTTTTTTTTCGACTGGAGGCCCCGGGGAGTGGGGTACTCCGTATACTGGTTTTTATGGAGAGGCTCCGCCCAAAAGGGGTACCTACTCCAGCCTTCACGTATATGAAAGGGTAGAGATTTCATTAGTTGAAGTATATTAAAGGTAGGGAAATCTGTCATTTTAGCCTGGAAAAGGGCCAAAAAGGGCTTACGGAGGCATTTTATGGATGTGGAAGAGACAAGAAAACTTCCTGGTTTAGTGACTTATTCACACTGTATTAAAAAGACGGTGCATTTTAAAGCAACTCAGGCACACAGATGTTGACAGTCTATCATTGATCCAATTTTCTTGTGCCTGTATTAGATCAGTCCTTGAGTATACTTGTCAATCATTTCATCATCTACCTGCATATTTATCGGATCGAATGGAGCAGATCGTTGAGAATTATCCTAAGCATACATATAGGGGAGCGCTGGTTTTATCATGCTTGACAACCTTTTTCGTCAGACAAGAACAGTTTTGTAATAATCTGTTTAATCAGATAGTAGGGAGCGAGTGGCAACACAATCTCTCTAGTTTGCTGCCTCCCTTTAATACAAGCTCTAATTACAGCACCAGGTTCAAAAAAGTATTTCATGTATTGTGGCTGCCCTCGAAAGTCGTACTTGGCGTCCGAAGGAGTTTGGTTGTTATTCACAAGAAAACAAGAAACACTTTAATCCTCAGATCTTCTCTTTATCTCCAGATAATCTTTAACTCTTCAGTTCATCTGTTCTTCAGATAATAACTTAGTCTGCCTTACACGATACTGATGAGCGAAGGATTACATGGATTGTGAACTTAAATCACACATGTGATAATAAAGAACATGGCGGCAACTAGCACGAGTCCTGAGCAAAATGGTAACAACCGCTGACCACAGATACTAATAACTCCTTACTATGGCACTGCTGTAGTAACATGGCTCCTCAACTGCATGTCATGCAGTTACGACAAAACAATAAACCTACAAGAGTCCTTAAGGCTAAACGTTCAACAAACTATCAGTTCGATACTCAAACCGTAGAATCTCGAAAGCTCAAGTAACTGATCGGCAACAGCGAATGAATGTTAAATTAGTTAATCAAAATCAAGTGTTCACTACAATGTTCATTGACAATCAAACCTTTGTAACGTCTTTCAGTTGTTCTTTGGTGGCTCCTCGATGGGGCCTTCCCTGGTCTCCTCGTGAAAGACATCCTCCTGGAACACTTCATCTGCAGTCTACAATAGAACGAGCGTGTGTATAGGTCTGTCTAGATATGATGGTGGGCGTTGGCGTTTGCCGCTATCATCCAAATTCCCGTCTGCCATCAGCAACCTGACCTTTCTGACATATCCGTCGTCACTTGGGTACACCTTCACTACTTTGCAAAGTGGCCACTTGTTACGCGTGCTTTCACTTTCCTTAGAGATGACTATATCACCAACAGCAAGGTTTCTCTTAAGCTGGACCCACTTTTGCCTAACTTTTAATATTTGAAGATACTCTCCCCTCCACCTCAGCCAGAATTCATTTGCTAAATACTGAACTCCGACGTCTGCGACAGTACATATCGGCTCTTTGAAACTTTCCTTGTGGCGGTAGCACTCTTTCAGGTTGCATAGTAAGAAGATGGTTAGGAGTCAACTGTTCTGGTGCTTCTGCATCACATAAGTTATCGACGCCGAAGAGGCTTGAATTAATAATGCACTCGACTTCTGTCAAGAGTGTTCGCAATGTTTCATCATCGAGTTGGCTACCAGCTACTACTTTTGTTGAAAAACTAGAAGCTGTTGATTGGTCTTCGATTAAAACTTGTGATGAGCCAGATATTGCGTACAAACGCTTTCATGAAATGTATACAAAGATTTATAACGATTGCTTCCCTCTCAAGAAGGCGACTAGAAAGCAGAGGCGCTTTAAAAAACCGTGGTTAACGAAAGCTCTTCTTAAATCAATTAAAACAAAGAATAAACTTTACAAAAAATATCTTCAAGTTCGAACAGTCGACAATTGTTCACTCTACAAAAGATACAAGAACAAATTGAATCACACCTTGCGTTTGGCTAAGCGTCGGTATTATGAAAAGAAATTGGAAGATGCTAAATCAAATACACATGCGACCTGGAAAATTTTAAACGAAGTCTTAAATAGAAAAAAGTCGAGGCCTCAATTAAATACAATATTTAAGTCAGACGGTCAGGAGATTTCTGATCCAGTGGAAGTAGCAGATAGGTTTTGCAGCTACTTCTCTAGTATTGGTCCCAACCTCGCAAAGAAGATACAGCCTCCTCCTTGTTCACATAAAGATTTTCTATCTGGATCATTTCGAGAATCAATCTTTTTTAGCCCAACAACAGAGGATGAAATTATTACCATTGCTCAATCTTTTGCTTCCGGGAAAGCGGCTGGATATGATAATATTCCAATGTCTATAATTAAGAATCCATTCAAATCATTTCGGGACCTCTGGCTCACATTATGAATTTATCGATCGCTCATGGCATTGTACCAGATCAAATGAAAATAGCTCGTGTGGTACCTCTGTTTAAAGCTGATGACCAGTCACTATTCACTAACTATAGGCCTGTCTCGGTTCTACCAAGCTTTTCAAAATTTCTAGAGAGAATCATCTATAATCGTTTGTATGATTATTTAACTAATTTACATATTCTCTGTGATAACCAGTTCGGCTTCAGGAAAAACCACTCTACGACGCTTGCCTTGATTGATTTGCATGAAAAAATTTCATCTGCTATTGATCGTGGTGAATTAGCGGTTGGTGTCTTTTTAGATCTCTCGAAAGCTTTCGATACAGTCAATCATTCCATCTTATTTGATAAACTTGAACACTATGGTATACGTGGCTTGGCTCTGAAATGGATTAAGAACTATTTTTCCAACAGACTTCAATTTGTAGAATACAATGGTTATGTTTCGTATCGTGCTAATATCATGTGTGGCGTTCCCCAAGGTTCAATACTAGGGCCTTTGTTTTTTCTACTCTACATCAACGATATAATCAACACGTCAACAATATTACAACTGATACTATTTGCCGATGATACAAACGTATTTGTGTCTCACAAGGATAAAGACTGCCTTACTAATATACTGAACGCTGAACTAAATAAGTTGTCAATATGGTTTAGAGCTAACAGGCTTTCATTAAACTTGAAAAAAACCAAATTCATTGCATTTAAACCATCCCAAAAGCGTACAAATCAAACTATTCAACTTTTAATTAATAGTCAAAAAATTGATCAAGTAAAAGAAACAGTTTTCCTGGGAGTAATCATGGACGAAAATTTAAATTGGAAATCTGAAATCTCACATGTCGCCAATAAAGTTTCTAAATGCACAGGAATTATTCGTAAATCCAGTTTCTATTTATCCACGAAAACCTTACGAACACTATATTTTTCTCTAGTCTATCCATACCTTTTTTACTGCAACTTAGTTTGGGCCTCTACCTACAGAACTAACCTTATTCGTCTTGAGATTTTACAGAAACGAGTGATCAGAACTATAGCTAAAACCACTTTCGATGCACATACTGATCCAATCTTTCAAAATCTTGGTATCTTAAAATTTCATGATATATACTTAATACAACTAGGCTTATTCATGTACTCCTATCAAAACCATACTCTACCTTTAAAATTTCATTGTAAATTTACCTTACAAAGTCAAATTCATTCGTATAATACAAGAAACTCTTGTAAATTTCGTCTGCCTTTCTGTCGTACTCGAACCAAGCAATTTTCCGTTTTTTATCAAGGACCTAAATTTTACAACACCTTAAACACCAACATCATCAACGCTTCCTCACCTTTCTCCTTTAAAAGAGCACTTAAGGCATTTATTTCTAATAATTATTAGTATACTTCAACAAAAATCTTGGGAAAAAGCCTTTTAATATTCAACATTTGTACATGTAAACTTCCGTAATATTGATTAGTTTAATTTTTCACCTGATATTATACTGTACCCGTCGCCGTAATTTTTATGCCATCTTCGAAAAATTGTAATTGAGGAGGCCTAATTAACATAAGCTCTATAGTTTCTTTTAGGCCTCCTCGCCATCTCTTCCTACATTTTTTTTTTTTTTCTTTTGGCATCTTTAAGTAATGTAATTGTGTGGCAAATAAATAAAAATACCTAAATACCTAAATACCCAGCTTGTAACAGTAGTGGTTCAAGTGGGGTTGCGTACACTACGAATCATACGTTCCCATGTCCCGCCCATGTGACTAGAATGGGATACGTTCAACTTGAATGGGATCCACTCGCATCCATTCCTTAGCAAATAGTCTTTAACACGATCTTGATTCATCTCACATAATGCTGCTTTCAGTTCACTTCGTGCACCAATGAAATTTGTCCCGTGGTTGGACCTCAGTTCTCTTACAGCACCTCTCCGATTCATGAAACGTCTCAATGCATTGATAAAGGAAGAACTCTCCAATGAATTGCCAGTCTCTAGTCTCTAGATGAACACTTCGTGACCCCATACGTGTTAACAACACTCCATTGCGTTTAACTTCACTTCTTCTCTCTTGGACAATGAACGATCCAAAGTAATCAACGGCACAAAACGAAAAAGGAGGAGCTGGTTCAAGTCTGTCGTCAGGAAGGTAAGCCATCTTCTGCTGCTCAGTGGGCCTACGAAGTCGTCTACATGTCACACAACTCGATATGAACCTCGCTACTTTTGACGAACCATACCGCGACCCATATAGTTTATTTTGAGATGGTGATGTTGAATCAACAGTTCAGTCAAGTGTCCTTTCCGTGAAATAATGACTGGATGCTTCAGATCAACTGGTGTATCTGCTCTTCTGATACGACCACCAACACGGATCATGCCATCATGGTCCACAAACGGATCCAATTTGTACAGCAAACTGGTCTTTAGTAACCCTCGTTTCCTCTTTCTAGCTTGGTTTCTGTTTGTCTCTCCGTCGGTTACATTTAAGTCGCAGAGAATTTGAAGTTCCTCTCGGAAATGTTCGTACTGCAAACATCTAATGATGGTCTTCTCTGCCTCCTGAAGCTCTCGAAGTGTAATTCTCAGTATTGACTTCTCAACGTCTGTACTTGACCTTGTTACTGGACTCGCGGGTTTCTTAATTTCCCTCCTTTGAAGCTTGGACTACAGAAGTAAGCATAGAGCTATGACCTTCATAGCACGGTACCAGCTAGATACCCATCTAGTTTGCTTATTTCAAAGTGATCAGGAAATGGAGCAACATTTCTGGCCTTCGTGGTCAAAACGGACACTTTCTTCACCTCCGGGTCAGAATCTTGAAGGCGTGGTAGCTCCACGTTTTCTGGTTTACAGAGTCCGCTTCTCCACAAGAATTCTGGACCAGTTAACCAAAGAGATCCTTCAACCAGCTGCTTTGTGGTGAGTCCTCTTGATGCTTCGTCTGCGGGGTTGTTGTTTGTGGCTACGTAAAACCATGCGTTGAGATCGGTTAGGTCCCGGATTTGCTGCACTCTGTTAGCAACATAAGCGTGAAATCTCTTGGCTTCATTGTTAATGTATCCGAGAACTACTCGGCTATCTGTCCAGAAGAATTCTTTCATCTCCGGGTACTCCAACTCATTTCTCACGAATTCACTCATTCTTGCAGAGGTGGTAGCAGCAGCAAACTCCAGCCTTGGAATAGTCTTGTGCTTAAGGGGGGTTATCCGTGCTTTTCCGACGATGAAGGAACAATGAACTTGATCGAGTTCGTTAATCAATCTTAGATAACAGCATTGACCATAACCTTCCACTCAAGCGTCTGAAAAATAGTGGACCTCCACTGCTTTCACTGGGCCAAAGTTGTCTGGCTTGAAACACCGCTGTATCTCCAGTTTCTTCAACTGTACGATTTCTCGCCGCCTCTTTTCCCACTGTGGGTGTAGATACTCTGGAACAGGGCTATCCCAATCTAGCTTGTCTTTGCACATCTGCGGAAGAATCTGTTTACCTCTGAGTGTAACAGGGGCCCGGGACCCATTAGGATCATAAATGGAGCCAGTAGAGGACAACCCTAAACCACATGTTGTAGTCTTAGGTGTGGATGTTGTAGTCAAAAAAGGTGTTTGGGATCCATGTAGTTGGGAGTGAATTGATGTATTAGTCTTATTTGCACGGGTAGTTACTGTTAGAGATTGCAAGAATCCTTTCACTGCTTCGCCTTTACTCTCACTTGGAAGATTGTCTAGATCTTCTTCAAGGGAAGGTGTTTACTCATTATCAGTCTCTTTGCATACACTTAACTTGGCTCTTCTAAGTTCAAGTTCCCTCTTAAGTTTGAATTCGTCCAGTGTTTGCTCCTGTTTTAACCTTTGTATTTCTAGGGCCTTCTCTTGTTCCACACAGGCTAGCTTCACCTTCAAGGCAGCTTCTTCCTGTAGAAGCTTATATTTATCTACTTTAGTTGAAAGTACACTGTCTGAACTTGATTTTGACCCGACACTTTTGGTTGTTTTACTCCTCTTTGAACCTTTAGAAATGACAGAATTAGACTCCAAAACTGTTTGTTCCAAATACTTTATCTCATCCCTCACATCCCTCTCAAAAACAGACCACTCACCACAAACTTGCCCCCAGAGATTCTTGACCTTAATTTGCTAACTCATCGTCTTAAACTGTTTCGAAAATGTCATTATATGCATCCACAAATTCATTCCACGGAACTTGTGCCTTACTAAGCTCTTGCTTCCACTTTGATAATTTGTTACAATGTCCCCGAAGCAACAGTGTTCTTCTCAGTGTTCCCGTAAAACTTGACCTTTTGTTCTTGAAAGAGTTCAACTTTAGTTCGTTTTGATAGGATTGACCCTTTTCGGTACCTTCCTGCTACGAACTTCCGACAAATGTTGTTCATTTTCCACATGGAAAAATCCTTTGTTTTCCGCATTCTCCGGTAGATCAACAATTAAAGGCGAAGACTTCTCGCAAACATCATCCAAACAATTATTTGAAGCAGAACTTACCACCTCACCACAAACATTTGACATTGAAGCCTCAGGAATATCACTCAGCTCTCGAGATATGACAAGTACTGAATCCAAACGAAAGACAATCAGAACTAACTTTCTACAAAGGTTTACACCACTTGGTATCCATTCAAATCCTCCGCAGGTCGTCCGGCTTTCGTTATGAACTTGTTGTCGTGACAGCAATGATTTTACGGTGGTTTGAAGCTTCACTAAGGACCACTAAGTTGTTATTGTGGTTGGCCTCGAAAGTCGCACTTGGCATCCGAAGGAGTTTCGTTGTTATTCACAAGAAAAAAACAAAGAAACACTTTAATCCTCAGACCTTCTCTTTATCTCCAGATAATTTTTAACTCTTCAGTTCTTCAGATAATAAAGTAGTCTGCCTTACACGATACGGATGAGCGAAGGATTACATGGATTGTAAACTTAAATCACACATGTGATAAACAAGAACGTAATGGCAACTAGCACGGCACTACGGCACTGCTGTAGTAACATGTACCTAGGGGCAATACCAACAAGTATGCAAACTCGCTTTTTATCCATCGTGCTTCTAGGGCAAGCAGTGGTCTGTAAAAAATGATATTATATTTTTTTTATTTTTTATAATAGTATAATAGATAATAGTGATCATCTTCCTATTCTCATAATAATAATAAGAGCTTTTTGAGAGAATTAAATTAATGTTTGAGATAATTAAATATCATCTGCCTATGATTCACTGCCACGCTGATGATTCACAAGTTTACATCTCATTTAGTCCGAACGACAGAGCTGAACAACTTGCTGTGATGAGCGATATAGAAGACTGCATCAGAGACGTTCGTTTTTGGATGTTGAATCTATATCTGACAGGGGAAACGACAGGAACACTTTCGAGTCGTCGACGTATGACTCCAGACAGCATGTTTGGGATGCAAACGGTAGATCGTTCAAATAGATGCAAAACAACAGTGGTGAGAGTATAGCACCTTGGGGTATAGTACTCCATGTGTAATCGGCAGAGGGTCAGATAGGGTAGAGGCTCTTCGGGTACACTGAGGCCGGCCAGATAAATAGCTCTTGAACCAGTTGACAACAGCAGGTGAGGCACCCTCCATCGAAAGTTTGTGAAGCAGTTTTATATGGTCAATACCGTCAATTGTTTTCGAAAGATCCAGTAGGACGAGAGCGGTAAGCCTCTTCTTATCCATAGCCTCTAAGATGGTATCAGTGATGTAAATGTTCAAGGTCTCTGTAGAGTGGAACTTTTTGTTTCCGCTCTGGTGGGAAGACAGCCGCTTGTTTCGTAAGAGGTAAACGACAAACTGCTCGAGAACAATTCTTTCACAAACCTTGGAGACTACGGGTAGAAGTGGTAAAGGTCGATTGTTAGCTGCTTCCTAATGGTCTCCGTCTTTGAGGATAGGTATGACTTCTGCCGTCTTCCATGTTGTTGGAAATGTGTTCGTAATAATGGAGCAATTGATAATTTCGGTGATAGGACCTAATATGACAGGAAGGCAGTCTTTGATTATACGAGCACTTACTCTGTCTGAACCAGGAGACTTGATCGACGGGAGAGATAAAATGACACGGCGAGTTCACATCCTCACGGGTGACAGTCCTTAACCTGAAGAGCTCGTCGGGTAGAAGAGGGACAGTCTCTCGGGTAGGTTCAGGAAGGGTGATGTTTTTGTCTTCAGCAAGGTGAATAGATGCATTTGCGTTTCTGCCAACGGATGAGAAAAAGCGGTTAAATTCATTCGCCGTAGTTTTCAAGTCTTTTGAGAAAGTTAGCCTTTCCTGGTTTTTAGATGGGATGACGCGATTAATGATCTTCCAGAGGGAGTTGGGATTGTGTTTGTGTAGTTGCACCTCTTCGGAAGTGTTTTTCCTCTCCGCTTTACTGAGTCTTCTCTTGACCGAGTCGCGGGATTCCTTGAAATTTTTCCAGTCTAACGCGTCGCCTTCGAAGGAAACGATTATGAACGCGATCCCTGGACATCATTAGGTCCTTGATATCTTGACTGACAAAAGGGCAGGGTCTGCTCCGAATTGTGATCGTTTTCATAGAAGCAGGTGTGTTCAGAGCCGACTGTAGGCCCCATTGAAGATTTCAAGTTTAGTGTCCACGTCGGTTTCATCGAAAATAGTTAGCAGGCTTTATTATTAGTATACAATTAATAAATTCGTATTTTAATTTGTAAAATTTTATATGTTATTCAGTTCTCGGACTGCAAAATGTGAATTTTAATAAGCCGTTTACCTATCTATTTATCTATCCATTTACAGCGGTTAAAAGGGATGCAGCGTTCTAAACTACAACAGGTATGAAAGGGTTACCAATACCATTTGCCAGTTGAAAGGTGTTCCTTTTTAGTCAAAAATGGTATATTTAACAATTATTCCACGAGGGCGCGTTGGATATGAGATGATAGGTAGCCAACGAGGCGCATAGCGCCGAGTTGGCTATAATCATTTCATATCCAACAAGCCCGAGTGGAATAATCGTTTTATTAAAAACGCCCACAAAATCTCGTTGAATCGCCCCGACTAGAACAAACCGGAAAAGACAAGGGACTTCCGCTATTGACATGTCACACGTCTATCAAAACTGTCAACGCGCGAACGGGCTCGCCTAGACTGCATGAATGAAAAATCAAAACATTGTGCGATGAACATTAGTTTTTTGAAAACTCATCGTGATTCTAGGATTTTACACAGCAGAAAAGCTTAAAAAACCTGGCAGATAATGTGAAGGAAAGGAATTTTTAAGTGACAGCCGTCGAAACTACTATGAATTTGGATTTTCGGTGCAGTTATAAAAGTAAGAACAACGGAGAAAAACTACCGGTATTACCTCGTCGCTTGTTATGAAGTTGTTTGAAGCCACAAGCTGGTTTTGCTGAACGAGAAAAGAAGCTATACTGCCGCCTCGATTGCTCTAGTGAATGGCTGCATAGCCTGTATTTGTAGCTGGTTACTTGTGATTTATATTCTTGATGTTGGATAAACAAGCTGCAGTTATCTATCGGCGAGTGACTCGATCGGCGAATGGCTTCGCGATCACGAAGACAACACTTGTCTTCTTTCGTAGCTGGTCAAGGTACTTTAGTTCCATGTGTTTTCTACCCTGCGAGCAGAGGCTACATTTTCGCGGTATGAGCTGGCGTGCGAAAAGTAGCCTCTGCCGACAACCGTTCAGTTTTCTATCGTGCATGCGCAAAATTCGTCACGCGATTCGCAAGCAACTGGTTCGTCAAATCTGCGTGAGTTTCGCAGGAATCAAACTTGCGTAAACTACCTGCGAACTACTCTCCTCGAGCTTTTGTTTTGTTTTCCTGTTTCGCCCCCTCTGGTTTTAAGTAATTTAGCCCCAAATTTCCACGGATCGTCTTTTTTAGGAAAGTGTTTTTATGCTATCAACTGTAGTAAGTTCTGTCTGTTTTGCGGGGAGCACATTTTTCCGGCGTGAAAGATAAAATTCGCCGACAACGCTACGCAGAAGTGATGCTTGAAATAAATTGGATGCTGTAGTCTCACTATTGTGTTTTAAACTAATGTTATGAATGAACATAGACAAAACGGTAGTCAGTAAAATTATTTATCGAAAAGTTTTATTCGAAAACCCATAATTTTATCCTTAAAAGCAATTCGCGTAATACTGACTGGATCGAGGACCATTTCACGCAAGTAAAAGCTGCCGAAGACATTAAATGTCAACGGCAAAATCCGTCTCAAGTCGTACAAAACATCTATGAAACAACTATAAATACTTAAATTTCCATTTAAAAACGGAACTTCGTTGACCATTAATGTGCAAGTTGTACCTTAAAATTCTTCAAAAACTTTGCCGCTTTGGTTTCTTTCGTGAAGAAGCCAACCAGGTTGAAGTCCTTGAGGGCGAATCAGTGTTCAGCTAAAAGCGTTTTTTCTGCTTTTTCCACAAAAGAAAATTGATCGATGATTCTTTTGAACATTCCGGTTCCCATCTGTGTCTTAAAACAGTGCATTTAGCCTCGCATTGGGAGGCGACACAACAAAAATCACCACAGTATCCATTCCTGGCAAACAAGAACTACCATAATTGCATTTCTAGTATTCTAAGAAATGAATTAAAACGATTTGCTTGGGCGCAGTTCCCATCCTTCTTCGCGAAAAAAAGTCTCAGCTTGTTTCCCAATTTAACCGACGCGTACACCGGACCATATATGGAGAACATGATATTTAACAATTGCCTTTAAATTAGTGAATAGGGCAAAATATTTACCGAGCCGCAAAGCGGCGAGGTAAATATTCAAAGCCACTATTCACCGAGATTGAGAAGAATAATTGTTTTATATACACACGAAGTGATCTCAACAAAATCAGAAAGGAAACCATTCAAAAGTAGGATTTGATTGGACAGATCAAATCACGTAAGTTTAAAAAATAGATCTTTTGTAGAATTTTTCAAACATGGCAATTCACAAGTTACTCATTCTGCAAACAACAGCGTAATGGCTTCAATGAATCGCTAAAAGTTTGAACCCGTTTCCCTTACCTGAGAAAAAAGTAGAGCTGTGTTGTTTTCTGTTGACTGCCGTTTATAGCCAAAAGGGCATGTTGTGTCGTTCTTTCGCATGAAGTGCTTGACAAAATGGCGGCTCGGTTGCTCGAGGTAAGAGGTCGTCTTCCCTGTCATTCTTTTTCCTGTTTACTTGAATGTAGAATTTCGCAAACATTTTTTTAAATTTGTTTGTCATAAATAAACTTGATTTTTGAGCCAAAATTTTCTTCTTTAGAAAACGCTGAGTTCACGAAACGGCTTCTTCTACGCGAATACACGGGAGTTAAACAACCATTGAGCACAAAACCCTCAACAGTAAATTGAAAAACGCCGTATTGAATCCTTCCAAGTCTTTTTTGCCTTTAAAAAGTCAGCCCTAGGATTTTGTCGACTTTAAAAGATCGTTCTCTAAAAAAAACGGGAAAAACACCGAGCTCACACATTATCCACTCGCTAGGAGGTGAATATTGTTGAATAGTCCGAGATAGCGAACCAATCAGATTGCTTAAATCACCAAGATCACTGAGTGTGTATATACTAATAGCTCATATACCATAACGGCTAAACCAATCAAAATGCTAGAATTGCATTATCCAATGATTCAGTTTTTAATAAAAAAGGTTAAGGGATTGGACCTCGGGGTGGAGCCTCCCCTCCCTGTATAAGACTTCATGGAATACCCCCTGGGATTGAAGAACCACGGGTCGTGTATTGTGGAAATCTTTAACTTTTATTTAAAGATATCGAGAGACAGTACAAGATGAATATTTAAGTGATGACAGCCAACAAGAAGAAAATGATATGAGGCCAACAGATCGAGAAACAGACAGTGACGATGATCAAGAAAATACATAATTTTAATACAACGCGTACTACTGTAAGTGGCAAAGGAGAAAATTCACAACGGGAATCAAATTTCTTTTTGTGAAACCCTAACAAATAAATAGAGCAAGTCTGTGAAGGATCTTGTTTTGTTGTTGTAAATGGTAACATCATAGGGTTTTGCCCTCTCACTTTCAATGTAATATTTAACAATTATTCCACGAGTGCGCATTGGATATGAGTTGGGGATCCAACAAGCGAGATAGGCATAATTGTTTTATTAAAAACGCCCACAAATTATCGACAATTCTTCGCGACTTTATTTGTAAAAACAATCGATTTTCAGCTTGATTTTAATTTTGAGCAGACGCGTACAGTTACCATATGTGGAGAGCATGGTATAACGGCTCATATACCATGATGGCTAAACCAATCAGAGCTCTAGAATTGTATTATTCAATGATTCAGTTTTAAATAAATAAATTAAGCCAAGGCCAAAGCGAAAATATTATGGTGTTTTTAAGAAATGTCTTTCTTAAGTAACGTTTTCTGAGCCTGCAATCACTTAAATGCCATAACTGGTCAGCGGATATCTTTAAAAAGAAAGAGTACCTTAACTGACTTAACTTGATTCGCCGATAGGCGACTGTACTGGGCTGCCCGGCACAAAACCTGTGATGCATGAAAACGAGAAGTTTTCTCGAACAGACAGCCAACAGCTTACAATAAAAGGAATGTTAACCTATCCCGATCGATCCAAGGGCCTCACTCAACCGACTGCACCGAGACTATACACGCTGACTATAAATAGATGATGACATTTTAAAATTATGGTCGACACGAAAACGCATTTTGTCACAAGATAAAAATGTTATGTTTCAAGATTTTTTCCCTTCGTTTCTTGTTACTTTTCTTGAACTTAAAGGAATAAGCTTTTTGCATTTTCCGACCTCGAAAATTTTAAAGCTTTGTTTACGCTCACGTCAATTTCATCGGAACGAACTTTAAAAAACTGTGAACACTCCACAGATCAAACGGTCGATTACACAATTTTTTATACCGTAATATGAGTCGAAGCTTCCCTATATTTTTCAGCCGTGACTAACATATTTTCGCGGAAGTACAATTATTCTGTAATTGTTTACTCCCCCGAGATTTCGCGACAAAAAATACTATTCCTTTATTTTTTGTCGGTGAAGAGGCTTTAGTAGGTATATACTAAAATCGCTATTTTTGTTTTCAAATTCTTATTGGCCGTTTTTATGCTAGAGACGTTAAAGTCGTCTAGACGCATTTAACGTCTGAGACGTTAAAGTCGTCTAGTGTAAAAACGGGACGCACAAAAGTAGACGACCTTATTTAAAAAAGTAGATTTTTCTGAAAAAATTTGAGGCTCTACCTCGAAACACTGGACGACGAGTTAAAGCGGCGCCAAAAATGAATTTCGTTAGCAAATCTCCTAGTTTACGACGTCCCGTCTTTTATATTAGACGATTTTAACGTCTGACGTTGTCGTTCGTTGTTGCGCGTCGTTCGGACGCACTTAAACAGAAGACGTTAAAGTCGTCAGACGTTAAAGCCGTCCGTTTATTTACCGTTTTTGTTTGACGTTAGTCGTCTTAAGACGACTTAACGTCCTCAGACGACTTTAACGTCTCTAGCATAAAAACGGCTATTGTTAGCTCCATACAAGCCAAAAAACGAATTGAGTCCGTCTTGGCTCCTCAGAGAGTGTTTCAAAGACTAAACATGGATTTTTTGTGCTGTTGCAAACAAACGAATGCCTGCACAAAATCTGTTCGATTCGGTTTTTTAGTTAACCTTATAGTTCACAGGCTAAATAAAATATCTTTGATCAAAACGTGTTCAAGCTACAGTGGTTCAAAGAAAACTATTTTGCAGGCTTAATCAAAACCCTGGAAGTAAGGAAGATTTGAGGAAAATATCTCAAAAGTTGCGGCCTAAATCTGGTTTAAAAAACTCATATCAAAGTAAAGTTTTAAGCTATATTTTTATTTTATAGGTTCAGACTTGTGGGTATCTTCTGGGATTGCAGTAACCAACAGTAGATTATAACCACATTTTGCGTATTCGCATAATGAATGGCCGTGTCAGATGTCATGATTGTGCCGTGATTAAAAGTTCCATGAAATTGCCTCTTTGACACTCGAATTCGTCTCCGGCCTCTAAAAGAAAGTAACAAGCTTCTTTAAGCACTTTTTGAATCGAAAGAGATATAGTAACAGGGATTATCATGCATGTTACCATAATTACATGACCGAACTGGCGGGCGCGTCGTCTTGTAACTAGGGAACTTAAGATGGAGACGTTTTTGGACGATTTACACCGGACTGGCAGAGAAAGCTGGAACTAAGGGCAGCCGTCGCTCCCTCGTCAAAATAGAACATTAAGATCGCAGTGAACTCAGAAGGATTTGGCGCCTTTAATTAGAAGAATACCTGAAGGGGAAAAAATATGGCTTCACATAAAGAATTAAGAGAATAAATATTTGCTATGCAGACAACATGTATCGGATGAAGAGTTTCTCGTTTTGTGGGAAAATTACGAGTCCAAAAATCCTGATTTTTTGGGACAGTTACGATCCTCTTCACGCTAAAAAACATGCGGGATGCAGCTTAGTTCAAGGCAGAATTTCGTGTTGAAAAAAATGATTCCACAGGCTTGCTGAAGCTTTGCAAATTACAGGAACATTAAAATGCTACCAAGGAACCGTATTTCTTAGTTTGGTATTGAAATAATTCCTGGGAAATACTTGCATGCAACAACAACAAACAAGGGCAATAACTTTATTTCGTGTATTCCTAATGCCGAGTTAGTACATGGGATTACCTACTATTCTATATAATTTTCAATGCGTTTCATTTATACGATATTCTAACGAAAAGAGCGAACTAAAAAACACAATTGAAAGATCGGAGTTCATATTTTTTGTCTGGATACCTTTTTTTGGCTCGTGGGAAAATTTTGTCCCATAGCAAGCTCACTTACGGTTGGGGAGAGTTGAAAAAACTGACCCCCACTCCGCGGACTACCCACTGACCCCACCCGCGGGACTTTACCCACGGACCCACTCATGACTACTCTACGGACCAGTCCGCGGACCACCATGCGGACTACCCTAAACTAATCAACCAAATTTACTTTCACGGAAAAGAGTTAGAAGAAGGTACCTGCCTGCCAAGATCACACTTGATAAACAGCCGCCATCTTGATTTTCGCCATTTTATCGACCCAGCCCTCTTCTTCATTGCTACGTCCATTGCAGCCTGTTCTTGATCGTCACGCAACGCTTTCCAAACCTCGCGACGATCCAAATAACGACTGTGTGTCTTACGTAGGAGAATACGTCTCCAGGGCCTTCTAAATAGGTGAACTCAAAAATATGGTGACTTCCAAGCACGGCTATAAGTGTTCTTAAAACATTTTTAAGCCGAACATAACAAAAACTGTTACCAGCGCCAATAGTGGTCAACGATTGGCTGATCTATATGAAATATAAACTATCAGCAATACGCTGGCATGACGTCACGATGTCTTTCATTGATTATGCTGGCGTGAGAAGCATGCAAGCAGACCCGCCAGATCAACCTTCAACACTTTTTATTTTTTTTTTTTTAATTTTAAAGGCATTTATGACTAAAACTATTTAATGGAAATGAAACACTTTTAATTATTTAGATAGTTGTAGTTCAATTTTATCTTTTGGTTCAATTTTCAATTTTTGTTTAAAATTCATTATCATATATATTAACATAGAAAAGAACAATGGAAAATAAAATTGAACCAAGGATAAAAATTGAACCACAACATATACATGCTAATACTACCTGTTTGTCACAATACATTTTTGGTGATGCGATGTTTTGAAATAACAACAATTATAAACAGTAATGGCTTTCAATTGAGTGTCATTAATTTGCGTTAACTTTAGTTTGCAATTACTTGTGATTGGTTAGGAAAAGTTCCCGGTACTTTCGCAACCAACCAGAAAAAAACATCATTTCTAATCATCGTGACTTGTTTCGTGTTTTTCACGTTTGACAACATTTACATATATAAAGGCTTTATTTTCCTTCTCAGTTTTATTTTCTTTTGGTCGACAGTTTCTGCATCTGTTGATTAGCCAGAGAGTGTAACTTAGTTTTGGCTTTACGAGCACTCATTTGAAACTGGTTCTAATTATGTTTAATTTGGGTTTAATGCTTACATTTCACATTTTCATGTGCACAAGGAGAAGTCATTATTTTTAGACTAACGTTGCACATTTCGTGTAAACTGAATGTCGTAAACAGAAAACAACTACAACAACTGGAAACTATAGCATTGAAAGTCTCCTATCAGCCTAGAAACACCACGAAAACTACATAGCCAGAAATTCCGACTCAAAATCACATTACACCCTTGTCCAGCCCCAGTTTTCAATTGAATCGTTGCTGACATTTTTGACGGTGGTTATTTTGCCAAACACCAAAACGCCGTGTGGCCAAAGTTTATCGCCCTGGGCTAACCAGAGTGTTAAAAAGCTAACCAGAGTACTAAATAGGCTAATCAACCTTATACATATGTAACAGGTTTAACCCCAAATACGGTCAAATACTACATTCGCATTTTGGCGTTTCGGCGTCGGCAAAATACCCCTGCCACATTTTTGAGATTTCGTTCGAAAATTGGGGGTCCTGTGACATCCCAAAACGCATTGCGCGTCGAGAGTACACGAGAAACAGTCGCCATGTTTGTGTATTTCAGACTGTATTTGCGTAGGACAATTCGTCATCGTGTCGATATATTTCTTTGGCGGGAATCAGCGAATCGACAGTATGCAAGCACACCTGTCGTGAGTGTTAGACTACACATGAGTTCATCAGCAAAGTATTTATGATCGTGTCATTTTTAACAGCGAATTCCAAACTAAGATGTCAGCTGAGATTATCGTAAACATATTTTCAAAAAAACCTCACAGGAGGATGTTTCAGTCTAATATTTTGAAAATTAGACGATATAGTTTGCTGTGGTGTAAATCATTATTTAGCTAGTTGTCTGTTTACAAATCTTCCCGTAAAGATCTCTACAATGTGGGCAGCGATTTCCCTTGGCTGTCACTGACAGTTAAATGAACATGTACTGGTACGGGATTTGAAATTTCTGGCTATGAGCTTAAATCGTAATCAAACCTAGCCCTAACCAGTTGTTGTAATCCTTCAGACACAACAAGACTGGCTTTGATATTCACGCTCGACTCCTTTCCTGACATCTTAGTACAAACGGGATTCAGGTGGTAGTGTCTGGTTGAAGTCGTCAATTGCCACCGGTTTGTTGCTTTGTTCCAAA